TAACGCTGCGTGCCATATCTCCAATTCCCCACATCTGCGGTGGCGACAGGGCGCATCCAAGCGTCCTCAGCCATCATACTGAGAGTGACTCTGTATGCTCAGTGCTTTCAGTGCTAGCCTGGGGGCTTGGAGGGGAGCTAGGGCTACTCTGCTGGAGAAGACACAGGATGATAATAATAATAATAATAATATGCCATTAGCAGACGCTTTTATCCAAAGCGACTTACAGTCATGCTGCAGAAACACAGGATGATGTGTGGACGGCTGGAGAGAGGAGGTCTTGATAAAGTCACGGCCACCATAGAACTACAGTGGTAGCCTAGCCAGAGACTAGGTCTTAGCATCACCTGGCATCATGTCTGTGAAATGGTTTGGGACTGGAAGGAGTTCTAGAGACTATCTGTATTTGTCCCATGAGAGCATTACTGAACAGACAGAGTGGTTACACAGGAGAGGAAAAAGTCAACTCACATGTTTAGACAGGTTGTCACTTTTCGAGTCGAGGTCGTACCTGGAGAGAAACAGGAAATGACACATAATATATTTATTTTTTCTTTAAGTAAGTAAAGAATGTACAGTGAGGGAAAAAAGTATTTGATCCCCTGCTGATTTTGTACGTTTGCCCACTGACAAAGAAATGATCAGGCTATAATTTTAATGGTAGGTTTATTTGAACAGTGAGAGACAGAATAACAACAAAAAAATCCAGAAAAACGCATGTCAAAAATGTTATAAATTGATTTGCATTTTAATGAGGGAAATAAGTATTTGACCCCTCTGCAAAACATGACTTAGTACTTGGTGGCAAAACCCTTGTTGGCAATCACAGAGGTCAGACGTTTCTTGTAGTTGGCCACCAGGTTTGCACACATCTCAGGAGGGATTTTGTTCCACTCCTCTTTGCAGATCTTCTCCAAGTCATTAAGGTTTCGAGCCTGACGTTTGGCAACTCGAACCTTCAGCTCCCTCCACAGATTTTCTATGGGATTAAGGTCTGTAGACTGGCTAGGCCACTCCAGGACCTTAATGTGCTTCTTCTTGAGCCACTCCTTTGTTGCCTTGGCCGTGTGTTTTGGGTCATTGTCATGCTGGAATACCCATCCACGACCCATTTTCAATGTCCTGGCTGAGGGAAGGAGGTTCTCACTCAAGATTTGATGGTACATGGCCCCGTCCATCGTCCCTTTGATGCGGTGAAGTTGTCCTGTCCCCTTAACAGAAAAACACCCCCAAAGCATAATGTTTCCACCTCCATGTTTGACGGTGGGGATGGTGTTCTTGGGGTCATAGGCAGCATTCCTCCTCCTCCAAACACGGCGAGTTGAGTTGATACCAAAGAGCTCGATTTTGATTTCATCTGACCACAACACTTTCACCCAGTTCTCCTCTGAATCATTCAGATGTTCATTGGCAAACTTCAGACGGCCCTGTATATGTGCTTTCTTGAGCAGGGGGACCTGCGGGTGCTGCAGGATTTCAGTCCTTCACGGCGTAGTGTGTTACCAATTGTTTTCTTGGTGACTATGGTCCCAGCTGCCTTGAGATATTGACAAGATCCTCCCGTGTAGTTCTGGGCTGATTCCTCACCGTTCTCATGATCATTGCAACTCCACGAGGTGAGATCTTGCATGGAGCCCCAGGCCGAGGGAGATTGACAGTTCTTTTGTTTCTTCCATTTGCGAACAATCGCACCAACTGTTCTCACCTTCTCACCAAACTGCTTGGCGATGGTCTTGTAGCCCATTCCAGCCTTGTGTAGGTCTACAATCTTGTCCCTGACATCCTTGGAAAGCTCTTTGGTCTTGGCCATGGTGGAGAGTTTGGAATCTGATTGATTGATTGCTTCTGTGGACAGGTGTCTTTTATACAGGTAACAAACTGAGATTAGGAGCACTCCCTTTAAGAGTGTGCTCCTAATCTCAGCTCGTTACCTGTATAGAAGACACCTGGGAGCCAGAAATCTTTCTGATTGAGAGGGGGTCAAATACTTATTTCCCTCATTAAAATGCAAATCAATTTATACATTTTTTGACATGCGTTTTTCTGGATTTTGTTGTTGTTATTCTGTCTCTCACTGTTCAAATAAACCTACCATTAAAATTATAGACTGATCATTTCTTTGTCAGTGGGCAAATGTACAAAAGCAACAGGGGATCAAATACTTTTTTCCCTCACTGTATATATGTTTTATTATAATTACCTTTCGTGAACTAACACTCGCACTTGACTTTTTTCCCCCTTACTAGCTCTGACTTTGCTGATAGCTACTTTATTGAGGAAAAATGTACTTACTACACTCTTAGAAAAAAAGGGTGCTAAGTAGAACTATGTAGGTTTCTTCGGTTTGTACCTTTCATAGAGAGTTTTAGGTAGAACCCTTTTTGGTGCTAGGTAGAACCCTATGCAGAGGGTTCTACCTATAACCCTTTATGTAGGGTTCTTCATAGAACCCCCTGTAAATGGTTCTTTCTAGATCTCTCTATGAAGGGTTATGCTTAAAACCCTCTATGAAGGGTTACAACAAGAACCCTTTTATCCTCTAAAGGTTCTTCCTCTATAAACGGTTCCACCAGCCTTATTAGCCTTTCAAATTAAATTATTTATGACAATACATTACATAGTGGTGTTAGGAAACTCCTGGTTTACAGGCCACATCAGGCCTGCAAGTCACATTATGCTGGCTTGCAAAGTGATGTTTAATTCTTATTGGGATCTAGACAGAGTTAGGATATCCAACACATTTTTATCACCCGCAATCTGCATTCAGAATGACTGCCAGGGAAGGGAGGATTGAATACTGAGACTACCTCAATCATCTAAACTGGAACAACCATCTCAGTAATGGATGCAATAAGTCCAACTACTAAAAGATTGGATTAGTTTAGAAAAATGTATGCTATTATTCTTTGTGTAGCATAAAACTAATCAATCAATGTACATGCAAAAACACACATATGAAAACAAACAATTCTCAAAATCACCCTGCAATAGAGCATGCTGGGAAATATGATATTTAGTTCTGTGTAGAACCCTTCTTGCCTTCCAAAGATTCATTTTTGCCTTCCAAAGAATCATCAAAGAACCCTTTCTTCCAAAAACGGTTATTAGGCTGTTAAAGGTTCTAGGTAGAACCCTTTGCCTTACAAATAACCTTTTTATTCCAGAAATTGTTCTTCAGATCAAAACAGTTCTTGGTAGAACTCAATCCCTCCGCAAATAACCCTTTTGGAACCCTTTTTTCTAAGAGTGTATGATAGATATGTGGTTGTCCCACCTAGCTATCTTAAGATGAATGCACTAAATCTAAGTCACTCTGGATAAGAGTGTCTGCTAAATGACTAAAATGTAAAAGTAACCACTGATTGTGGAAAATTATCGTACCATTTTACAAAAAGGCTTGGCCGTCAGTGGCAATGGTTATAAACAATCAGACATTGCAAGAATGTAGGTTCTCCATAAAACTATAAAAACAACCTGTTTTTCAACCTGTGAAATCTATCCACCTGCTTATCAAAAAGAAAGCCATTTTATTCTAGTACAGTATATCCCTTCCTTAATCCATTTTATTCTAGTACATCATATCCCTTCCTTAATCCATGTTATTCAAGTACAGTATATCCCTTCCTTAATTCATGTTATTCTAGTACAGTATATCCCTTCCTTAATCCATGTTATTCAAGTACAGTATATCCCTTCCTTAATCCATTTTATTCTAGTACATCATATCCCTTCCTTAATCCATGTTATTCAAGTACAGTATATCCCTTCCTTAATTCATGTTATTCTAGTACAGTATATCCCTTCCTTAATCCATGTTATTCTAGTACAGTATATCCCTTCCTTAATCCATGTTATTCTAGTACAGTATATCCCTTCCTTAATCCCTTTCCTTCTAGTACAGTATATCCCTTCCTTAATCCATGTTATTCTAGTACAGTATATCCCTTCCTTAATCCATGTTATTCTAGTACAGTATATCCCTTCCTTAATCCATGTTATTCTAGTACAGTATCTCCCTTCCTTAATCCTTTTATTCTAGTACATCATATCCCTTCCTTAATCCATGTTATTCTAGTACAGTATATCCCTTCCTTAATCCATGTTATTCTAGTACAGTATATCCCTTCATTAATCCATGTTATTCTAGTACAGTATATCCCTTCCTTAATCCATGTTATTCTAGTACAGTATCTCCCTTCCTTAATCCCTTTTATTCTAGTACATCATATCCCTTCCTTAATCCATGTTATTCTAGTACATCATATCCCTTCCTTAATTCATGTTATTCTAGTACAGTATCTCCCTTCCTTAATCCCTTTTATTCTAGTACAGTATATCCCTTCCTTAATCCCTTTTATTTTAGTACAGTATATCCCATAATCCATATTATTCAAATACAGTACATCCCTTCCTTAATACATTTATACTAGTACAGTATATCCCTTCCTTAATCCATATTATTCTAGTCAGTATATCCATTCCTTAATCCCTTTCATTCTAGTACAGTACATCCCTTCCTTAATCCATGTTATTCTAGTACAGTATATCCCTTCCTTAATCCATGTTATTCTAGTACAGTATATCCATTCCTTAATCCATGTTATTCTAGTACAGTATATCCCTTCCTTAATCCATGTTATTCTAGTACAGTATATCCCTTCCTTAATCCATGTTATTCTAGTACAGTATATCCATTCCTTAATCCATGTTATTCTAGTACAGTATATCCATTCCTTAATCCATTGCTCAGGTGTGTATGCGTGCCTGCTTCTGTGCATGAGTGCACGTGAGTGCGCGCGCGTGTGCGTGTGTACGTGCGCCTACACACGTGTGTGCATGTGTGATGGTGTGTCTGTTTGTCTCTACAGACAAGGTGCCATGTCACAGCTGAGAGCGATGATACAATACCATGTTGGTACAAATGTAATTCCATAAGACTAGGGAACATTGTTACGCAACCGGGCCCGCCGATGGCAGAATGCACAGGTGTGCCTAATGTACTATTCGTCTTTGCCTCGGTCACTCACAAATCTTCATAAATGATTCATATAATGACAAGGGAAAAAGTACACATATATATTTGTCAGAGAGGATGCCCTCGGGCTGCTTCTGGGTGTAGGGGGAAGCTGTGTGTGTGTGTGTGTACGTGTGTGTCAGGAGTCGGGACTGAGCGTGTGTTATTGTGAGAGACCACTCTTTGCTGAGAGCCATTAGAGGGCCATCAGTGTAGATTGTAATACAGCCTGATGCTCGCCCACTCACAACAGAGCCTGTGGGGAGTCCGCTATGCTACCAACACACACTCCATCATCCTCACTAACTCCCCCTTCCTAACCCAAACACACACACACACACACACACACACACAACCTCGCGCTCTGTCTCTCAAACTTAACACACAGTTACTCATGCTCTCTTCATCTAAACACTAAGGCACTCAGCTGTATTGTGGCAAGGAAACAAAACATGAAGGAGACTAAATTTCCCCGAGGGAACCAGTCCCAGTGTTGGAAACAAGCAGCTTTATGATGTCACCCAGAATCACATGATTCTTTTCCAAGCTATATCACACACTATGTTACATACATTTTTTTCTTTAAAGGACCATATGATGTGCTCTGAGAAAAGACTACAATTTAACTGACATTCATTTATGAATTCCGAAAATATGAACATCATGAGTATTTCAATAACATTTTTACATTTTGCCCCACGACCGTATTACATTCCAAAACATCCCATTAACAAGTGGAATTCATACAGAAATGTTATGAAAACGTGTTTTTTTATTTAAAAGGTGAACACTTACATCTCCCTTCTCACTTTATAAATATTTTATTCATAACTCAACTTGTGCTTACAGACTCACACACAGCACCACTCTCTCTCACCCACGCATGCTCATGTACACACACTAACTCACCTCACTAACTCACCCTCTCTAACCCAAACACACACACACACACACACACACACACACACACACACACACACACACACACACACAGGTGTATGCTAAGAACGTTCTTAACTCACAGGTCAAAGCGGAGATTCTGCCTCTCTTCAAAGAAGTAGTCCAGGATGAATTTCCGGACAAAGTCTGGATTCAGTGTGTTGTCTATCACCTCTGTCCGACTAAACTAGAATGAAAGAGAGGAGGAGGAACAGACACTGGTTTGTATTGATTTTAAATGAATGAGGCAATTCTCAAAGACTTGGACCCTCTCCCCCCTCACCTCAACTCACCTCTCTCCATTCCCTGTTGGCGATTCCTTGAGTGTACAGCACACAAACTGTCAAGAGGAGAGGAAGAAAACAAAAGGAAAAGCCTGTGTAAAACAGCCGTTAAAACACAGAGGAAACAGCCGTTAAAACACAGAGGAAACAGCCGTTAAAACACAGAGGAAACAGCCGTTAAAACACAGAGCAAACAGCCGTTAAAACACAGAGGAAACAGCAGTTAAAACACAGAGGAAACAGCAGTTAAAACACAGAGGAAACAGCCGTTAAAACACAGAGGAAACAGCCGTTAAAACACAGAGGAAACAGCCGTTAAAACAGCAGTTAAAACACAGAGGAAACAGCAGTTAGAACAGCAGTTAAAACACAGAGGAAACAGCTGTTAAAACAGCAGTTAAAACACAGAGGAAACAGCTGTTAAAACAGCCGTTAAAACACAGACGAAACAGCTGTTAAAACAGCAGTTGAAACACAGAGGAAACAGCTGTTAAAACAGCAGTTAAAACACAGAGGAAACAGCTGTTAAAACAGCAGTTAAAACACAGAGGAAACAGCTGTTAAAACAGCAGTTAAAACACAGACGAAACAGCTGTTAAAACAGCAGTTGAAACACAGACGAAACAGCTGTTAAAACAGTAGTTAAAACACAGAGGAAACAGCCGTTAAAACAGCAGTTAAAACACAGAGGAAACATGGCATTAGAAAACCCGGAAGATAACATTCTAGCTCCTAGGCTATGACATCATGAGAGGAAAGCTCTGTTCCTAATTAATGTAAATGTCAGTGTAACTCTGCCTCCCAGGCAGCAAGGAAGATATTTCGAAAAGAAAGGACCAAAATAAAAAGGCAGTGAGTTGAAAGTGCTAAAACGCTAAGGCAGCGTTTCTGAATCCTGGTCCTAGTGACCCAAGGGGTGCACATTTTAGTTCTTGCCCTAGCACTAACAAAGTAACAGACTCATAATCAAGCCTTTGATTAGAATCAGTTATGTAAGCGCTAGGGCAAAAACTGAAATGTGCACACCTTTGGGAAAAACTGTGCTAAGGGGAATCCACTCTGACCTGCTTTTATACTGACATCCAACCAACCAGCGGCGGCCCACCCATTAGGGCGTTAGGGGCGGCGTCCCACTTGTGATTGGTCAGATAAATTGTCATTGGTAAAAAAATATATATACAAATATTTGTGTTAAAAAAACAATATATATTACACAATTCATGGATTATGGTTTAAATGCTCATAAAAGTGTGGTTCCTGTTTCAAAAATATATTGTTCAAAACAAGCTGTCAAAAGATATAGGGATACACTAGCTAGAACCTAAACATAAAACCGAGTGTATCACAAAGCATGATCAAATTAATTAGCCAGCTACAGTAATTTTTAGAAACATTGAGAAATAGTTTTGTCGATTTTTTGTCAATTAATCAGCTAGCTCCCATGGCAATTTCTAGTCTTTCTAAATTAATATCTGACTTACTCGGAAATAAGAAGTTATTTCAGAATGAAAGTTAACTGGCTAGTGGATCATGCTTATGTTAGCTAGCTATCCCCAGTTAGATAATGTGTTTTCACTTATTGTATCTGAATGCTTGTTACGTTTGCCCTGGTTTCCACTAGTTATCACAGCCACAAAGTAAAACTTGGCAAAATATCGTAAAAATTCATGAAAACAAAAATGAGCTTTTTGGTCTTAATTTAAGGTTAGGGTTAGGCATAAGGTTAGCAGTGTGGTTAAGGTTAGGGTTAAGGTTAGGGTTAGGCATAAGGTTAGCAGTGTGGTTAAGGTTAGGGTTAAGGCTAAGGTTAGGTTTAAAATCACATTTTAAGAAGAGAAATTGTAGAAATAGGTAGGCTTTATGACTTTGTAGCTGTGGTAAGTAGTGACAACTGTTCTTCCTGGTGCACCTGTTCGTTCATTAGCTGGCTGTTCGTTCTAAATAGTATAATCAGCAGTGGTAGTTCGAAAACTTGGCATAATATTTCTGTCACGCTGCTTTGTTGACAACTCCAACCACCTCGCGCCCCGAGTATTCAGCCAATCAGCGGCCGCTGCTGCAACCAACAATCTACTTGAACTTCAGATGGAACGTTTTGGAGGGGAGGACCTGTGTGGATTGTCAGTTTGTTGTTACTGTCACTGACTGAGCCTTCAGAAGAGTACGACATTGACCAAAATAAACAGCTATCAACGCATTTTGTTTAAAAACACACACACACAGATTTAGTATCGCAAAACCATCTGTTTTAATACAGTCTGGCGCATACTACTGTAATCTGAGCCAATTCCTTCCACTGGGAGGGGTGTTAAAACGTTCAACTCAAAATACACCTCATCAGAATCAGAGGGGTCAGAGCCCCCATTCCATCCCATTCCACCTGACTGACTGTGATCACTACCGCTGAGAGTGCTTCAATGGCCTCTGTCCATAGAATCAACATGAGTGATTCTACTATGGCTCTGATTGCCCTCACTAGCTCTGTATGTCTGTTAGTGAAAAGAGCTCTGGAGACATGCCCATTCTCTAGTAGCTACCTCAGTGGCCAGGGCACTTGGTTAGGCCAACAGTGTTCCAGCTGGCTGTTGTGGTTATGATTAGATTTGTGCATGTAGTGTAATGTAGTGTAATGTAGTGTAATGTAATGTCATGTAATGTAATTTAACGTCACGTAATGCAGTTGAGCTCAGCTGTCTGAATGCACACAGAAAGCCTTTCAGCTGCTACTGAAAGCTGGGACTGCATATGGTCTTCATGCATTAGATTGGATCATGTGTCGTCACGTGCAACTACGCACTCACTCAGACACACACACACTTGTTGTGTTGTCAAGTCTTATAGGCTAGCCTACCCTAAAGTGTATGTAGTGTGTGTGTGTGTGTGTGTGTGAGGCTCCCTGAGGCCAGTGTGTGTGTGTGTGTGTCTGTGTGTGTGTGTGTGTGTGTGTGTGGGTCTGTGTGTCTGTGTGTCTGTGTGTAGGGTTTGGGAGTAGCGGATTACAAACAACTGTAACCCTTTACGTTACCAGTACAAATATTTTAATCAGATTACAGATACTTCTGAAAAACGAAATGATCCCGAAAAAAATCTTCGACATCTTTCTGTTTTCTCAATGACGTTCAAATCAGCATTGAAAAACTGCGCAAGTTGAAGTTTGTTACGCCTGAGCGAGTCTGACCACAAGTCAGAGACCACTATGATGACACACCAAATGCGTTTGATGGATCGCAGGCAAAGTGCAGGAATAGGCCTTTGTAGGCTACAGCCAAGCTACACTACATGGCCAAAAGTATGGGGACACCCGTTCGTCGAACATCTCATTCCAAAATCATGACTCTTTGCAGGCCAGTCAAGTTCTTACACACCAATCTCAACAAACCATTTCTGTATGAACCTCGCTTTGTGCACAGGGGCATTGTCATGCTGAAACAGGAAAGGGCCTTCCCCAAACTGTTGCCACAAAGTTGGAAGCACAGAATCATTTAGAATGTCATTGTATGCTATAGCGTTAAGATTTTCCTTCACTGGAACTAAGGAGCCAGGCCCGAACCATGAAAAACAGCCCCAGACCATTATTCCTCCTCCACCAAACTTTACAATTGACACTATGCATTGGGGCAGGTAGCGTTCTCCTGGCATCCACCAAACCCAGATTTGTCAGTTTGACTGCCAGATGGTGAAGCATGATTCATCACTCCAGAGAACGCCTTTCCACTGCTCCAGAGTCCAATGGCGGCAAGCTTTACATCACTCCAACCAACGCTTGGCATTGTGCATGGTGATCTTAGGCTTGTGTGCGGCTGCTTGGCCATGGAAACCCATTTCATGAAGCTCCCGACAAACACTAATTTGAAGGGGTGTCCACATACTTTGTAGTGTATGTCTTCCAATGGTGTGACTGTTGTCTGCATCCAAAGATTATCCAACTTGAATAAACACTTGGAGGTGAGGATGACAGCAGAGGTGTAGCCCAGCGGATATCACATATTAGTGATATCTACATAACGCATTGATGTGAATCACACTGCTGCTCTCGTATTTATTCATTTATTTGTGCCTTACCTATTGTGGTAGTTTAAGCTGCCAATTGTCATCGTCAATCATTGTTTTTGCGTCCAGTGGACAGCCACTGACAAAATGCGCTCTTGCAACAGCTGCATAGTGCGGATCCCAGTCTATAGAATAAAAGTTTGAGGGAGTTCCTCCCTTCTAACCTGCTCCGTGGTATTGTGCTCCATACTGTCAACAACTAGTTTCATTTAAGAAGACCCTGAGTGGGGCTTTTATTGCTCAGTCTAATTCGTGCTGATAAAAAAAAAAGATGTCCATAGACCTAACGGACATCACATGCTCAAACTTGCGGACTTTTGATAGACTTAAACAGCTGCAAATTATGGAGGTACCAAAGTGTCACCAACAAAAACTTAAACAATAGTCCTATAGCAAATGCAGCTTATGGCATACATTTTTCAAATCCAAAATAGCACTTTTCGGTAGTGCTCAAAGCACGCCATTCCATGAGAGCAGCATTTATTTTTCAATTGGAAGCAATGAGTCCAATCAGTCCTCCATGACAACAAAACCATAAACAGAGTAGGCTAATACAGTCAGCTCCAAAAGTATTGGGAGAGTGACACATTTTGTGTTGTTTTGGCTCTGTACTCCAGCCCTTTGGATTTGAAATGATACAATGACTACGAGGTTAAAGTGCAGACTGTCAGCTTTCATTTGAGGGTATTTTCATTCATATCTGGGGAACCGTTTAGAAATTACAACACTTGAGCGAGGCAGTTAACCTCAAGGCAGTTAACCTCCAACAACAACAATTGCTCCCCGGGCGCCAATGACCTGGATGTCGATTACGGCAGCCCCCGCACGTCTCTGATTCAGAGGGGTTGGGTTAAATAAGGAAGACACATTTCAGTTGAAAGCCTCCTGTAGCTCAGTTGGTAGAGCATGGCGCTTGGAACGCCAGGGTTGTGGGTTCGATTCCCATGGGGGGCCAGTATGAAAAATGTATGCACTCACTAACTGTAAGTCGCTCTGGATAAGAGCATCTGCTAAATGACTAAAATGTAAATGCATTCAGTTGTACAACTGACTAGGTATCCCCCTTTCCTTTCCCACTTTTTGTAAATAGTCCCCCCATTGGGGACCAAGAATATTGGGACAAATATACTTATATGTTCATTAAAGTAGTAAAAAGTGTAGTATTTGGTCCCAAATTCATAGCACGCAATGACTACATCAAGCTTGTGACTCTACACATTTGTTAGATGCATTTGCTGTTTGCTTTGGTTGTGTTTCAGATTATTTTGTGCCCAATATAAATGAATGGTAAATAATGTAATGTGTCTTTTTGGAGATACTTTTATTGTAAATAAGAACAGAATATGTTTCTAAAAACTTCTACATTAATGTGGATGCTACCATGATTATGGGTAATCCTGAATGAATTGTGAATAATGATGAGTGAGAAAGTTACAGAGGCATAAATATCATACCCCCCCCCCCCAAAAAAAAAAGAATGCTAACCTCCCCTGATATTGTAATGGTGAGAGGTTAGCATGTCTTGGGGGTATGATATTTGTCGGTCTGTAACTTTCTCACTCAAGCCTACATAACCAACCCATAAAGTAAAATGCAACATCCATTTATGGCCAGCTATGTAAACTCTAACATTGATTTATCCTGCAATAGATGTCGTTCAATTGGTAATACAGTGGGGGAAAAAAGTATTTAGTCAGCCACCAATTGTGCAAGTTCTCCCACTTAAAAATATGAGAGAGGCCTGTAATTTTCATTATAGGTACACGTCAACTATTACAGACAATATGAGGAAAGAAAATCCAGAAAATCACATTGTAGGATTTTTTATGAATTTATTTGCAAATTATGGTGGAAAATAAGTATTTGGTCAATAACAAAAGTTTCTCAATACTTTGTTATATACCCTTTGTTGGCAATGACACAGGTCAAACGTTTTCTGTAAGTCTTCACAAGGTTTTCACACACTGTTGCTGGTATTTTGGCCCATTCCTCCATGCAGATCTCCCCTAGAGCAGTGATGTTTTGGGGCTGTCGCTGGGCAACACAGACTTTCAACTCCCTCCAAAGATTTTCTATGGGGTTGAGATCTGGAGACTGGCTAGGCCACTCCAGGACCTTGAAATGCTTCTTACGAAGCCACTCCTTCGTTGCCCGGGCGGTGTGTTTGGGATCATTGTCATGCTGAAAGACCCAGCCACGTTTCATTTTTTAAATTAATTTTTTATTTCACCTTTATTTAACCAGGTAAGCCAGTTGAGAACAGGTTCTCATTTACAACTGCGACCTGGCCAAGATAAAGCAAAGTAGTGCAATAAAAACAACACAGAGATACATATGGGGTAAAAAAAAACATAAAGTCAGAAATACAACAGAAAATATATATACAGTGTGTGCAAATGTAGCAAGTTATGGAGGTAAGGCAATAAATAGGCTATAGTGCAGAATAATTACAATAGTATTAACACTGGAATGCTAGATGTGCAAGAGATTATGTGCAAATAGAGATACTGGGGTGCAAAAGAGCAAAATAAATAACAATATAGGGATGAGGTAGTTGGGTGGGCTAATTTCAGATGGGCTGTGTACAGGTGCAGTGATCGGTAAGGTGCTCTGACAACTGATGCTTAAAGTTATTGAGGGAGATAAGAGTCTCCAGCTTCAGAGATTTTTGCAATTCGTTCCAGTCATTGGCAGCAGAGAACTGGAAGGAATGGCGGCCAAAGGAGGTGTTGGCTTTGGGAATGACCAGTGAGATATACCTGCTGGAGCGCAGACTACGGGTGGGTGCTGCTATGGTGACCAATGAGCTAAGATAAGGCGGGGATTTGCCTAGCAGTGATTTATAGATGGCCTGGAGCCAGTGGGTTTGACGACGAACATGTAGTGAGGACCAGCCAACAAGAGCGTACAGGTCACAGTGGTGGGTAGTGTATGGGGCTTTGGAGACAAAACGGATGGCACTGTGATAGACTACATCCAATTTGCTGAGTAGAGTGTTGGAGGCTATTTTGTAAATGACATCGACGAAGTCAAGGATCGGTAGGATAGTCAGTTTTACGAGGGCATGTTTGGCAGCATGAGTGAAGGAGGCTTTGTTGCGAAATAGGAAGCCGATTCTAGATTTAACTTTGGATTGGAGATTCTTTATGTGAGTCTGGAAGTTGAGTTTACAGTCTAACCAGACACCTAGATATTTGTAGTTGTCCACATACTCTAGGTCAGACCCGTCGAGAGTGGTGATTCTAGTCGGGTGGGCGGGTGCTAGCAGCGTTCGATTGAAAAGCATGCATTTAGTTTTACTAGTGTTTAAGAGCAGTTGAAGGCTACTGAAGGATTGTTGTATGGCATTGAAGCTCGTTTGGAGGTTTGTTAACACAGTGTCCAATGAAGGGCCAGATGTATACAAAATGGTGTCGTCTGCGTAGAGGTGGATCTGAGAGTCACCAGCAGCAAGAGCGACATCATTGATATACACGGAGAAAAGTGTCGGCCCAAGAATTGAACCCTGTGGCACCCCCATAGAGACTGCCATAGGTCCAGACAACAGGCCCTCCGATTTGACACACTGAACTCTATCTGAGAAGTAGTTGGTGAACCAGGCGAGGCAGTCATTTGAGAAACCAAGGCTATTTAGTCTGCCAATAAGAATGCGGTGGTTGACAGAGTCGAAAGCCTTGGCCAGGTCGATGAAGACGGCTGCACAGTACTGTCTATTATCAATCGCGGTTATAATATCGTTTAGGACCTTGAGCGTGGCTGAAGTGCACCCGTGACCAGCTCGGAAACCGGATTGCATAGCGGAGAAGGTACGGTGGTATTCGAAATGGTCGATGATCTGTTTGTTAACTTGGCTTTCGAATACTTTCGAAAGGCAGGGCAGGATGGATATAGGTCTGTAGCAGTTTGGATCTAGAGTGTCACCCCCTTTGAAGAGGGGGATGACCGCGGCAGCTTTCCAATCTCTGGGGATCTCAGACGTTATGAAAGAGAGGTTGAACAGACTAGTAATAGGGGTTGCGACAATTTCGGCGGCTAGTTTTAGAAAGAAATGGTCCAGATTGTCTAGCCCAGATGATTTGTAGGGGTCCAGATTTTGCAGCGCTTTCAAAACATCAGCTGTCTGAATTTGTGTGAAGGAGAAGCGGGGGGGGCATGGGCAAGTTGCAGCAGAGGGTGCAGAGTTGGTGGCCGGGTTAGTGGTAGCCAGATGGAAAGCATGGCCAGCTGTAGCAAAATGCTTGTTGAAATTCTCGATTATTGTAGATTTATCGGTGGTGATAGTGTTTCCTAGCCTCAGTGCAGTGGGCAGCTGGGAGGAAGTGCTCTTATTCTCCATGGACTTTACAGTGTCCCAAAACTTTTTGGAGTTAGTGCTACAGGATGCAAATTTCTGTTTGAAAAAGTTAGCCTTTGCTTTCCTGACTGCTTGTGTATATTGGTTCCTAACTTCCCTGAAAAGTTGCATATCGCGGGGGCTATTTGATGCTAATGCTGTACGCCACAGGATGTTTTTGTGCTGGTCAAGGGCAGTCAAGTCTGAGGAGAACCTGGGGCTATATCAGTTCTTAGTTCTGTATTTTTTGAATGGGGCATGTTTATTTAAGATTGAGAGGAAATTACTTTTAAGGAACAACCAGGCATCCTCTACTGACGGAATGAGATCTATATCCATCCAGGATACCTGGGCCAGGTCAATTAGGAAGGCATCCTTGCTAAAGTGTTTTAGGGAGCGTTTGACAGTGATGAGGGGTGGTCGTTTGACCGCGGACCCGTTACGGACGCAGGCAATAAGGCAGTGATCGCTGAGATCCTGGTTGAAGACAGCTGAGGTGTATTTAGAGGGTATGTTAGTCAGGATGATATCTATGAGGGTACCCATGTTTACGGATTTAGGGTTGTACCTGGTAGGTTCGTTGATAATTTGCGTGAGGTTGAGGGCATCTAGCTTGGATTGTAGGATGGCTGGGGTATTAAGCATATCCCAATTTAGGTCACCAAGCAGTACAAACTCTGAGGATAAATGGGGGGCAATCAATTCACATATGGTGTCCAGGGCACAGCTGGGGGCTGAGGGGGGTCTGTAGCAAGCGGCAACAGTGAGAGACTTATTTCTGGAAAGGTGAATTTTTAGAAGTAGAAGCTCAAACTGTTTGGGCACAGACCTGGATAGTATGATGGAGCTCTGCAGGCTATCTCTACAGTAGATTGCAACTCCACCCCCTTTGGCAGTTCTATCTAGACGGAAAATGTTATAGTTGGGGATGGAAATTTCAGAATTTTTGGTGGCCTTCCTGAGCCAGGATTCAGACACTGCTAGAACATCAGGGTTGGCAGAGTGTGCTAACGCAGTGAATAACTCAAACTTAGGAAGTAGACTTCTGATATTTATGTGCAAGAAACCAAGACTTTTGCGATTACAGAAGTCATCAAATGATAGCGCCTGGGGAGTAGGAGTGATACTGAAGGCTGCAGGGCCTGGGTTAGCCTCTACATCACCAGAGGAACAGAGGAGGACTAGAATAAGGATACGGCTAAAGGCTTTAAGAACTGGTCTTCTAGTGCGTTGGGTACATAGAATAAAGGGGGCAGATTTCCGGGTGTTATAGAAAAGATTCAGGGCATTATGTACAGACAAGGATATGGAAGGATATGAGTAAAGTGGAGGTAAACCTAAGCGTTGGGTAACAATGAAAGAGATAGTATCTCTAGAGGCATCAATTGAGTCGGTCTCTGAGTGTATGGGGGGAGGGACAAAGGAGCTATCTAAGGCAGGTTTAGCTAGGCTGGGGGGTCTACAGTGATATAGTACAATTAGAAATAACCGAAACAACAATAAACTAACCATGTTTGGGCTGAGGCTAAACATAAACAGGATGTAGTACCGTAAAAAGGAACAGTCCAGCAGATATCAGCTGTATAGCTGAGTTATCATAAGGTCCGGTGGTGAAGCACTTGTGAGTAAGAGGCCACGGATAGCGTGTGCTAGCGGGCCAGGGCTAGCCGATGGATGGAATCTTCGTGGTTAACGTCGTAACCACATCAGACGATTTCGTCGGCAGACCAGTCGTGTAGGATCGGCGGGGCTCCGTGTCAACACTAGGTGGTCCCGTCCGGTTGACAGAGAGGTAGATAGCCGGGAGATGGGCCTAGCTCAGGATGATTAGCCAGACCACAGCGTCCGTTTTGTTGTAGCCAGCTGGTAGCGATGAATCCGGAGTTAAAGGTCCAGTGATTCAGTGATTCCGGCGGAAAAACTGATATGTTCTGGGTCGATAACGCGCTGTGCAGACTGGCCGAATATCCGGTGATCAATGTCCAGTGATTAAAATTAATTAAGAAATCCAATGTTCTGGGTGAAACACCGCTAGCTGTGGCTAATAGCAAGTAGCTAGTTAGCTGGCTAGCTAGTTTCAACTGGAGATTCTAGATTCTAGATAAAGGTAAGTCAAAAATAGAATCCGTTCCACATTGAGTGAGGCGGGTTGCAGGAAAGTATATTTTGTAGAAGGATGAAAAGTCTGATAGGGAAATATGTACGAAAAATACAAAAAAACAGGGTATTTACAGGCTATTTACAGACACACGACAGAAACAGGACTGTTTCAGGACAATGCCCTTGCTGATGGAAGGATGTTTTCACTCAAAATCTCACGATACATGGCCCCATTCATTCTTTCCTTTACACGGATCAGTCGTCCTGGTCCCTTTGCAGAAAAACAGCCCCAAAGCATGATGTTTCCACCCCCATGCTTCACAGTAGGTATGGTGTTCTTTGGATGCAACTCAGCATTCTTTGTCCTCCAAACACGACGAGTTGAGTTTTTACCAAAAAGTTATATTTTGGTTTCATCTGACCATATGACATTCTCCCAATCCTCTTCTGGATCATCCAAATGCACTCTAGCAAACTTCAGACGGGCCTGGACATGTACTGGCTTAAGCAGGGGGACACGTCTGGCACTGCAGGATTTGAGTCCCTGGCGGCGTAGTGTGTTACTGATGGTAGGCTTTGTTACTTTGGTCCCAGCTCTCTGCAGGTCATTCACTAGGTCCCCCCGTGTGGTTCTGGGATTTTTGCTCACCGTTCTTGTGATCATTTTGACCCCACGGGGTGAGATCTTGCGTGGAGCCCCAGATCGAGGGAGATTATCAGTGGTCTTGTATGTCTTCCATTTCCTAATAATTGCTCCCACAGTTGATTTCTTCAAACCAAGCTGCTTACCTATTGCAGATTCAGTCTTCCCAGCCTGGTGCAGGTCTACAATTTTGTTTCTGGTGTCCTTTGACAGCTCTTTGGTCTTGCCCATAGTGGAGTTTGGAGTGTGACTGTTTGAGGTTGTGGACAGGTGTCTTTTATACTGATAACAAGTTCAAACAGGTGCCATTAATACAGGTAACGAGTGGAGGACAGAGGAGCCTCTTAAAGAAGAAGTTACAGGTCTGTGAGAGCCAGAAATCTTGCTTGTTTGTAGGTGACCAAATACTTATTTTCCACCATAATTTGCAAATAAATTCATAAAAAAATCCTACAATGTGATTTTCTGGAGAAATAAAATCTCAATTTGTCTGTCATAGTTGACGTGTACCTATGATGAAAATTACAGGCCTCTCTCATCTTTTTAAGTGGGAGAACTTGCACAATTGGTGGCTGACTAAATACTTTTTTCCCCCACTGTATTCATTTGTGTCTTCTTTTTATGCCTCTTAAGGAGGAAGTAATCTAAAAGTAACTGAAAGTAATTAGATTACGTTACTGAGTTTGGATAATCCAAAAGTTAGGTGACTGATTACCATTTTGGACAGGTAACTAGTAACTGTAACAGTTTACATTTAGAAAGTAACCTACCCAACCAGGTGTGTGTGTGTGTGTGTGTGTGTGTGTGTGTGTGTTTGTGTGTGATTCTGTGTGTGCGTCTTGGGCCCCCTGGTCTGCAGTGCCGAGGAGGTGTAATGCTGTGTGACTGGGGTCAGTACTGTCAGCACATCAGAGCCATGGACGCAGCACTAGTACCTCCTTGGATAAACATGCTACAGCCTGCAGCCACAAGCAGGCCCCTCGGATCAGAGTCCTCCCTCCCTGCTAGTGCTGAGTCTGACCACATCTTCTACAGAGGACCAAATGTCCTCATTTTAAGGATGTACTTGTCTACACACTACAGTACACAGACATCCCCTTATCTCTATGACAGATATGGCTGGTTAGGGTTGCAAAAATCCAGAAACATGACTAAAATGTTATGATTTAAAAGAAAATCTTGGTGTGATTAGGAGGATTTCTGGAATCAGCAGGGAATGAGCAGCAGAGGAATCCTCTAACCTATGGCTGGTGTACATGAGGACAGACTGTTTCTGCTCTGTCAAGTAGAGCCAGAGTTGAGATTACAGTGACAAATACGACCTCTGACATATGCAAATGCCTACTGATTCACAGGGGGAAGAGAGAGAGAGGGCCAGAGAGAGAGAGTATGTGTGTGTGTGTGTGTGTGTGTGTGTGTGTGTGTGTGTGTGTGTGTGTGTGTGTGTGTGCGTGTGTAAATCATTGTATAAAAGACAATCTTACTTGGGTCTGATTTGGAGAATGTGTCTCTGTCCAGGAGATTTCTGTAAAACAAGAAAGCAAAGAAACAGCCATTATTCATTGTGAAACATATAATCTGCATTAAGGGAAACAGCGCCACTGTTCACCCCAGCATCTTTGTTATTGTTTTGTTGTTGAAATGGAAGAGAAACGGAGGAGAGGAGCCTCCGGCAGGCGTGGTAAAAATACATTCAGTACATATTCTGCTGATTTATTGCGCGTGTAATGATGTCAGAGGGGGAAAAACAGTGTTGGTTGTTTGCAGTAACTTCTTTGTTGTTGCAATATCCCAAACGGATGTGGCAGTTTCACCAATGAAGGATTCCAGCTTTAAATTAATTATTTTAAAGATGTTATTAGGTAGTTATGTAGTCATTATTATGTACCCTAACTACCATTTGACCAAGTGATTTCTATAGTCGACTGAAAAATAAATCATCCAGTACAGCCTATAGCCATTTCTCCAATCATTTTTCAAACAGAGAAAAAATAATAAAAAAGAAATATTTTTTTTACACTCCCTTGGTAGAGTCAAGACTAAAGATGTCATAAAATGTCCTCCTACAAGAAGAGTCATGATGCACTGAAGAGACAACTCCTATTTTCTACCAGATGCTCCGAGCCGGTGGGGTACCCCACCGTTAACAAGCAGGGGGCGAGATTAAATATGCACACCACTACAACGATGTGGTCCTCTGTAGCTCAATTGGTAGAGCATGGCGCTTGTAACGCCAGGGTAGTGGGTTCGATCCCCGGGACCACCCATACGTAAAAATGTATGCACACATGACTGTAAGTCGCTTTGGATAAAAGCGTCTGCTAAATGGCATATTATTATTATTATTATTAACACCACACCACCACACCATCACAACACCACCACAACACCACACCACCACAACAACATCACACCACCACACACCCCTTGCATCAGAGACTCAGATGTTGTGTGTTGCCCCGACACACAACATCAGATGGACAGTGGGAGAGGAGTCCCAGCATGCCTCGTTAGCAGTGTATGTGTGTGTGTGTGTGTGCATGTGTGTGATACATTAGCAACAGCAGAAGGGTGGGTCTGTTACTCTGTTTCTAACAGCACTGTATGCCACACTGTGCTGCACCGGGTGGTGATTCCAGGTAAAACACAGAAAAGAGTCTAAGAAAACCCAAAACCGCTCACAGCTTGAATTCCTGCCAGATCATACATTAAACTCCATCAACCTTTCATGCTCTGTTTTGTTGAAGCTCTGAGCTGTGAAACACTGACTTATTTAAGAGGCTAGAAGAAAAATAGTTATCCATCAGGCAGGCATCTACAGACCACTAGACGAGACAGAAAGGGAGAGAAAGAGGGAGAGAGAGAAAGGGCGAGAAAGAGGGTGAGAGAGAGGGTTTGGTTTTCGCTATCATGCTAGCCAGGGGGACACCGCACAGCGTTCGTTGTGTGACAAGGCAGCCAAGTGCAGGAAGTGTCATTGGGCGTTGATCGTTAGTGATGTATCTAGATCAGCCACCCATGTTGTGCTGATCCCAGCCTGCCCCAGATGGTATCCCACTATGTCTGTCTGGCTGCATTCCTCTGTCAGAGCAGAGCTACACTAGCCCCTTAGTTGGCTGAAACCATTTAGAAGTGATAATAAGAGATGGAATTGGGCTGTTCACATCAAATGTGTGTAACGACTGGAGAGTGGAGACGACTCGGTCTGGGATGGGAGAGGTGTGTGATGGGAGGGGTGTGTGATGGGAGAGATGTGTGTGGAGTCATGAGAGGTGTGTGTGTGTGTGAGTGTGTGTGTGAGCTCCTCTGTTCCAGCTGCTTCACGTGTGCCCAAGGCCAGCTGCCTCTCTCTGACTGCTCATTCAGGGGAAATCTTTTAAAAAGCCCTTCCTTCCCACCACCCACCACCCACCACGGGCAGTCCAGGAATTTCAGGTGGGCCGAACAGAGTGCCTCCTCACTGTTCATCAAACATTTACGAGCACAGTCCCAGCACAACATCAGAATTACATTTTAAATTCCACCAGTTACATCATGCAGCGGTCACCTAACATCACAAGGCCTCTTCTATACTATAAGCCTCGAACCAGGATCTCTAGTGGCACAGCTAGCACTGCGATGCAGTGCCTTAGACCACTGCGCCACTCAGGAGTAACTTCCACCTGAGATGACACTGGAGATCAGACTAGCATGAACATACAGTATCCCAAAAAAGGGGTGCATTAAATATTCTTACCTTTGGAGGTTGAGAAGAAAATGAAAAGGGAAAGCAAGCACAAGAGCTTTCTAGAACACTAGAACTAGAACACTAGAACACTATGAGGGCTCTCTTTGACAGAGTTGTTGGTGCTTGCTGTCAGTCTCCCAAAGAAGCCTTCTCATTACTCAAAATGATTATTTATACAATGACCTGTCACCAGCAAAGGCTATTGATGAATGAAATGCCAATGTCTGAACATTAGACCTTTAGACTAGAGAATCAGACGGAGAAAGATGAAAGGAAGAGGGGAAACCCCAGACTCAGAGAAGCTGCTTCTGCTGCCTACACAGGTGAAGGACACACAGTACATTAACATTCATGAGAATAATTGAATCACTGGACAAGAGTTTTCATTCAACATTACCAAAACTGCTGCATTGATGGCTGCTTCAAAATGAATCTCCTTTCATTCTTACAAATATCTCTCCTCACGAGATAATGTCTCTATCCACATCTCCATTCAATGTTTTGTCTCTCCATTATAAAAATATAAATGAATGGGTAACGTCAGACAGAACACCGCTAAGCTGTCTATTATTCAGCCTGAAAAGATAAAGTCAGGCTATATGGACAATTGCCAAAGTGGAAGGCAGCATTCTGATCAATGGTGTTGGTCTAAAATAGACTTCGGAAGCAGATCAATGGACCTTTGAGAGAGAGAAATGGAAAAGACAGACAGACATCTCTGAAGACAGACAGACATCTCTAAAGACAGACATACATCTCTGAGGACAGATAGACATCTCTGAAGACAGACATACATCTCTGAAGACAGACATACATCTCTGAAGACAGATAAACATCTCTGAAGACAGACAGACATCTCTGAAGACAGACATACATCTCTGAAATATCACCAATCCTCATAGATGAGGAAAGTGTTTTTGAAAATGAAAATTAAAGCTATTAATAAATAATCAAAGAACTTGTTCCACATTCGAACTTCTGCATGATTCTCATAGGAATCACCACAAACAACAATTACAGTGCTTTCAGAAAGTATTCATACCCCTTGGCTTTTCCACATTTTGTTGTTCCAGCCTGAATTCAAAATTTAATAAATTATTTTTTTTCTCACCCATCTACACACAATACCCCATAATAACAAAGTGAAAACATGCTGTTAGATTTGTTTTGCAAATGTATTGAAAATGAAATGCAGAAATATCTCATTTACATTACACCCCTGAGTCAATACTTTGTAGAAGCACCTTTGGCAGTGATTACAGCTGTGAGTCTTTCTGGGTAAGTGTCTAAGAGCTTTCCACACCTGGATTGTGCAACATTTAACCATTATTCTTAAACACATTCTTCAAGCTCTGTTAAATAGGTTGTTGATCATTGCTTGACAACCATTTTCAGGTCTTGCCATAGTATACTGAACAAAAATATAAACGCAACATGTAAAGTGAGCTGAAATAAAAGATCCCAGAAATGTTCCATAGGCACAAAAAGCTTATTTCTCTCAAATTTTGTGCACAAATTTGTTTACATCCCTGTTAGTGAGCATTTCTCCTTTGCCAAGATAATCCACCTGACAGGTGTGGCATATCAAGAAGCTGATTAAACAGCATGATCATTACACAGGTGAACCTTGTGCTGGGGACAATAAAAGGCCACTCTAAAATGTGCAGTTTTGTCACACAACACAATGCCACAGATGTCTCAAGTTTTGAGGGAGCGTGCAATTGACATGCTGACTGCAGGAATGTACACAAGAGCTGTTGCCAGAGAATTTAATGTTCATTTCTCTACCATAAGCCTCCTCCAACCGCAGGCCACATGTAACCACACCAGCCCAGGACCTCCACATCCGGCTTCTTCACCTGCAGGATCGTCTGAGACCAGCCACCCGGACAGCTGATGAAACTGAGGAGTATTTGTCTGTAATAAAGCCCTTTTGTGGAGAACAACGCATTCTGATTGGCTGGGCCTGGCTCCCCAATGGGTGGGCCTGGCTCCCAAGTGGGTGGGCCACTCATGGCTGCGCCCCTGCCCAGTCATGTGAAATCCATAGATTAGGGCCTAATGAATTTATTTCAATTGACTGATTTCCTTATATGAACTGTAACTCAGTAAAATCGTTGAAATTGTTGAATGTTACGTTTGTTCAGTATAGATTTAAGTTAAAACTGTAACTCGGCAACTCAGGAACATTCACTGTCTTCTTGGTAAGCAACATCAGCGTAGATTTGGGCTTGTGTTTTAGGTTATTGAATTAATTTTCCAGTGTCTGGTGGAAAGCAGACTGAACCAGGTTTTCCTCTAGGATTTTTCCTGTGCTTAGCTCCATTCTGTTTCTTTTTTTAACCTGAAAAAATCCCCAGTTCTTAATAACGATTAAAATCATGCCCATAACATAATGTAGCCACCACTGTGCCTGAAAATGCAGAGTGGTACTCAGTAATGTGTTGTATTGGATTTGCCCCAAAGATAACACTTTGTTTTCAGGACAAAAAGTGAATTGCTTTGCCAAATGTTTAGAAGTATTAGTGCCTTGTTGCAAACAGGATGCATGTTTTGGAATATTTTTATTCTGTACAGGCTTCCTTCTTTTCACGCTGTCAATTAGGTTAGTATTGTGGAGTCATTACATTGTTGTTGTTCTCCTATCACAGCCATTAAACTCTGTAACTGTTTTAAAGTCACCATTGGCCTCATGGTGAAATCCGTGAGTAGTTTCCTTCCTCTCCGGCAACTGAGTTAGGAAGGATGCCTGTATCTTTGTAGTGACTGGGTGTATTGATACACCATCCAAAGTGTAATTAATAACTTCACCATGCTCAAAGGGATATTCAATGTCTGCTTTTTTTAAATGTTTACCCATCTACCAATAGATGCCCCTCTTTGCGAGGCATTGGAAAACCTCCCTGGTCTTTGTGGTTGAATCTCTGTTTGAAATTCACTGCTCGACTGAGGGACCTTACAGATAATTGTATGTGTGGGGTACAGAGATGAGGTAGTCATTCAAAAATCATGTTAAACACTATTATTGCACACAGAGTGAGCCCATGCAACTTATAATGTGACTTGTTAAGCACATTTTTACTACTGAACTTGTTGCGTTTCAGCCTGAATTTAAAATGGATTAAATTGAGATTGTTTGTCACTGGCCTACGCACAATACCACATAATGTTTTTCTGGGTCTTTCTGGGTCTTGTACCATTTAGGCCTCTGGAGCCTCTATGCTCTGGGTCTTGTACCATTTAACCTTTTGTGGCCTTTACATTACATCCTGCCGTGTTGTTAATGGTTTGCTACAGCTCTATTAGCTCACAGGCAGGTTGGTAATTACAACAAGACTAGGGGACCTGGACACCGCTCAAGGAGTTTTCTGGAAGTTATTTTGTAAAACTTGCGCAGTGCAATTTGGGGAGCAAGTTGAAGATGACAGACAGAAACAGAGAGAGAAATAACCGCCAACCAATATGTAAAAGTGATGGAGGTGCCCGCTGTCCTCTCTCTCAAGTAACTAGTTATAGTCACAGAGCTGGTGGGGCCTTAATGAGACCAAATGGCACTTTTGAAAAGCTCATTAAGGTAGTCACTAAGCGTGACCCCCTGGGAGCAGGGGTTTTGGCCCTGTGCCACTCACACAACTTTACAGTCCTGCCACTTCACCATTACCTTGGAAACCACCGTCACCTACAGATGAGGGATCTTAATTTGATCATTTCCTCAGCAACAGGAAATGTGAATTGTTGTATGAATTATAATTAAAGGTCCAATGCAGCCATTTTTATCTCAATATCAAATCATTTCTGGGTAACAATTAAGTACCGTACTGTGATTGTTTTCAATTAAAATGGTCAAAAATAAACAAAAATAGCTTCTTAGCTAATTTTGCTAGGACTGTCTGGGAGTGGTCTGAGTGGGGAGGGGAAAACTGAAAACTAGCTGTTATTGGCAGAGAGGTTTGAACTCTCTATCTTATTGGTCTATTAACTAATTTACCGCCTGGTGATGTCACCAGGCAGGCCAAAACTCCATCCAACCAAAACAGGCAGAAATTTCAGGCGGTCTTTTCAAACAGCTCTTACACTAAAAGGGCATTATCATCATTTTCAATATTATTCCAACCTCATAGTGTGGAAATATATTTAAAACACAGGAAAATCACATATTTGACTGCACTGGGCCTTTAATGGACATTTTTGTAGGGGTTGATAACATTTATGTTATGGCAAATCAAAGTCTGACATTTTTAAGTGGAAATTACAAACTTTGCAAGCCTTTTTAAACCTCAAATACACTACAAGTTTGCATTTCTGCAACAACAGGGTGATCAAATTAATATCCTACACCTGTATATGATCCAGCTCTTGTACCATTTAGGCCTCTGGAGCCTCTATGCTCTGGGTCTTGTACCATTTAACCTTTTGTGACCTTTACATTACATCATGCCGTGTTGTTAATGGTTTGCTACAGCTCTATTAGCTCACAGGCAGGTTGGTAATTACAACCAGACTAGGGGACCTGGGCACCTCCATGACAAATCAGGTCCGTAAGAATTGAAATAGCAATGTGGGCCCTCCCACAATTGTCAAAGATATTGACGTTGATATTGACATCTCACCCCCAAGAGACATCCGGCACTCCCAAGAGTCAATGTATGATTCCAATAATGCTCACATGTAATGAGTGAACCCACACACTGAACAATCTAAAGTTCAAGCAGGTTGGGATCCCAGCTCAATACAAACACATCACAACACATCAATTCTTCAATAGGATACCCTTTCATACCCTTTCTGCCTCTTATCTGCCCAAAGGTCTCTGTTACGGATACAGGTATCCTGTATGTGTTTTTGTGTTTTTCCTCTCCTTCTGCCCTAATCACAGGTGTCCTTTGTGTTCCTGATTGGTGGTCGTTGGGGTGTCCCACGTGTCCGACATCCGTTCGTCTGCTGATTGCTGAGGTGGACCAATCGGTGGACATTCCTCTGCATTGCACCACCTGTTTCTGGTTTTTCACTCACATCACACATCCTATTGTTTTAAAAGCCAGTCAGTTGTGTTTGCTGACAGAGACTCTTTTCGTTTGTTAGTATGGATACTGTGGTGTCCTGTTTTTTGTGTACTCACTCATTTGCTGTTTACTCTATATGATAACTATGTTGTGTGTTCCTGGGAAAAGGGGGATTTAGCAAGTTGCCTTGGGCATACATTACCCGTAGGAAAGACCTGAGCGGACCACCCACTGTATTTTTGTATGGTTAGCAGTAGCTTAGCGGTTCTTGAGGCAGGCAAGATCAGTTTAGGGGTTTTTGACACTTGTTTAATTCCTTGGGTCCTGCTCAGCCCTTTTTCCCAAACCTTTACCGTGTGTTCATAATAAACATTTTGTGTTTGACGGTAGCGGTGTATTTTTGTTCTCACTGTTTCCGTGTCACTATTCTAATTTGCATGAGTTATGTTACGGGTCTCTTTTCCATCCACCCTAGACTTTTAAAGCCACGGGGTTCGTAACAGTCTCCCATAATAAGACTGTCTTCCTCCTGCAGCTCAGACCATCCAGATGACAGCTTCCCCATCTAGGCTAACACTTTCTCTAACGGACACTTTCAAAACAGAAATATCTCTTACAGAGGCATCATGCACCTCCTTTTTTGAAAGGACACTGACTGCCAATATCTTTGAATGAATTATGCATAAAGGAAACTAGGCTATATCTTTGTATTTTTTAATTGTATTTTCAGTGTACAAGTGGATACATCTGAGGGGGCATGTGCCACTTCTTATGAAGCCTTTCATAAGAAAGAATCAAAGCGCTTTTGATCCTTAAGGTCCTGAAGTCCCAAGCCTCTTGAGCACATATCTAGACACACGACACAGAATATATTACTGGGAGATGGTGATCAAGAGTGATAGTCCCTCATCAATCAACTATAAGTTTGCGTCCCAAATGGCATCCTATGGGCCCTGGTAAAAAGTAGTGCACTACATAGGGAATAGGGTGCCATGTGGAACGGAGCCAAAATGATGATTTTCACTGCCAGGGCTGGGTGCTGCGGCAGCAGATTGGAGATATGTTTCACATTTTAATTTTTATTAGGATCTCCATTAGCGACAGCTAGTATTACTGGGGCCCAACATAACATGACATTAACATGTAGTGTGCATGTGAAAGTGTGCATCTATTAGTTACACATACCTCAGTACATTGACATCATACAGTCATTGGGTCTGAACTAATCAATGTATCCGTTCTCTGTTCTGCTTTACTACATTGCATGCCATGCTGATGATTCTGGGTTTATTGACTGAAAGGTCCCCTTGAAGGACTTAACCCATTACCGGGAAAACCATAGAATAAGGATGAATAGAATGATTCATTCTAATTCTATGTCAAAACTTCAACGGGGTGGTCATAGGAGTCCTGAGCTAACTATCATCAAGATCCAGCCTTCAAGCCTATAATCCATCTTATATGACTGTTAGCAATGTCATACAGTATGCACCTCAACATATATAGAAAAGAGACAGTATTACAATTTACAACCCCTCTCAATTAAGTCACCACAAAGGGCACAGCAACTGCATTCCCTTTCAAAATACATCCAAAACAACCTCATAACTACGTAGGCTATTTATCCATTCTACACACAACCACAAGAATAAACATAGGCAGAATAAAAGGTCAGTTTGGCTTAAAGAAACAAGCTGTAATAGCGATCTGATATTCAGCGCCATTGAAGCGGAAAGCGACAGAATGTGAATCAGAATTCTGAAGTTCAGCACCACATGAGTGGACAGCAACCGTCTCATGTGCACGGTGCAGCCACTCCCACTCAGAGAATCCCCGTGTGTGTGTGTTAAATTATGTCCACTGTGAGTCTTGTGACAGACCGTGTGACCGACCAGCCGCGGGAGCATCACCTCACTCTGGTAGAAGGAACTCCGCGAGGACCCCAGGCTGACCGAGGCGCGTGGCTCTTACGCAACATGGAGCCCGAGCCAGCCAGATGCGGCTCCAGTTGTACTTGTATCTGACTGGAAATCACATCTCTCCGGGGAGATGCAGTTAAAGCATCCATCAATTATCTCAGCAGCAGCATCCATTTTCTGGACGGAGGTTTGTTTAGTTAATTGGAGCCCAAAGGGAAGCGCGAGAGCTGCCACGTTAGGAAACACTAAAACCACGCACCACTGTCGTTCCACGGTCATAAACTTGATTTAAACATCCCTCAAATGTTACCTTGATTGATACGCCTATAAAGCGATCATGATAATGGTCAAATTGATAGATTTATTGACATCTGTATCATATGGTTATGATTAACATAGGTTTGTTTTTCTGGCCACATAAAATAAAATGAATTGTTAGTGCTAGAATGCTTCATAGAAATGTGTTGAAAACTTGACTAATTTCAGACACTAAACTATTTCTGTTTTGCAGTACGCCAATCATCATAAGCACCGTTCTCCATAATCTTAAACCGCAAGCATTCCGATTCCACTTGACAGCAACGTGAAGGAAAGCCGAAAGAGCACCTCTAGCCTACTCACCTACACGACACCGTGAGCTCAACTTTGGTGGCGGGAATGGCAGCGGTGAACGGGTCAAAGTCTCCAATACACGCCATATTCATAAAGCTACTCATCGTCGAAATCTCCCGTTAAACAGTCCTTTTTCGGTCGCATAAAAGAAGGAAGCAACCGTTAAAAACGGTGCGCTGCTTAGGGTCGCGGTTGCATGAGGCTGCGAGAGGAGTATTGCCCACAACAACCCAGCGTCATGTGTGACCGTTGAAAGATTCATCTGTTCCAGGATGAGAACGAGGTAGTAGCCTACTATAGGGGTGATAGTGCGGAGGGGGGGGGGGGGGGGGGGGGGGGGGGGCTCGCGAGGAGGGGGGGGGGGGGCTCGCGAGGAGGGCAGCCTAAACACGTGCAGAAATCAAATTAGAAAAATAAACAACTAAATAAGATAACACATTATAGTTGGCCTATAGACTACAGTGCTAATGTTTTTAGGCAACCATTGCAAATGCTTTATTGCATAAATTAACATAAGGATTTGTAGCCCGATAATGCTTTGAATATATCTATTGAATGATAATACATTGCAAATAAAGAATTAAATCTTCGGGGAACACATTTCTGTGACACTACAAGGGTATCATGGGCCACCTGGTTTTCACTGACACTGTCTGGCAGCAAGGAAATGTTGGACCTTTCCAAATTAAACATAATTTGCTGTCAAGACATTGAGTGTCCACCTGGTTTCATTTCCAAATAGTATAGCAGGTTGATTAAATCATATTGCACGCCAGCACACACAGTTATCCGCCCGCTTGGGTTTTGACAGCGATGAAAGTGATGCAGACAGGCGCACCAAAGTCAGGTGAGAAGAGACCACCTGAGCAAATCGCTCAATTAACAAGTGACTGATTTCTCTACCAGACACAGCAGCCTAGTGAGCTGAAATAGGAACACCTGCGTCAAATTAGACTATAGTTTAGGCTTAAATTAGCGTTTTAATCAGTGTGCTGATTGATTGCTAAATCCTCTCATCTTCAGGCGCAGTTGCTGAAGCCTTGGGTACATGGTCTTGATCTATTATATACTGAGACAAAATTACTTGATTAAATCTGTCATTTACTTTAAAACATGTTCAATGGGTATATTACTTTAAAGCCACAATCTGGAGTTTGTGTTTTAGGCCAAGGTCATTCCCGCTACAAGGGATGGGGCTGCACCTGGTCGCTATCCACTGTTCTGCGGTGTTGAATTTGGAACTCCGCTATCGCCTCTGCCCATGGTTCTGAAGGAAATTCTGCACTTGTTAAGTCAACATGCTCTGTAAATACTGTAGGGTAAGAAAACTATCGTTTGCACAAAAAATATAGTCACTATACAGATCATTCAATTGAAAACATTATACACTTTGTCTTGTAACTATTGGTTCTAACATGTATTATTTTTAAGTTTTACAAGTCTCCTAAGTCTTTAACTTATTTTTTTGTTTTACCAGAAGTTCAACTGACAACACACATGTAGGCTACCCATGTGTTCTATTCTAAAAGACCATCGGATAAAAATGAAACAATATTCTGAGATAAAATCATCATGAGCAAAACCACAGCTGTTAAATAATTTACAGTACAATTTCATGTCTTTTCTATTGCAAAGGGCATACTACAAACTGAGAGACACGGAACTGGCAATTCAGAGACCTTTGCTTCACTCTAAGTTCTAAAATATTCACCTACACCCTGAAATTGAATTTCATATTACAAATACCATCAGTTAAACATGTCTTAAACATTTAGAGCCGATTTTTCATTGAAAGTCCAGGACTAGCCTTATCTGTCTCTGGGAAACTAGCACTTACAGTACAGCAATCATTGATCTAGTCCAGTACAGATTTTATTTTATTATGACAATAGTAATTTTGAAAATAGTCAGAGATTTAGTTCTGGTTGCCCGGATGAGTTACAAGTAAATAACAGTTTTCACTTGGATGTTTGTGCTCCAAAATGGTATTGTGAGCAATGAGGTCATTACAATGTACAGCCAGCCATTCATGTGCCTTGCTTGTTGATTAATTACAAGTTACACTACTGCCATCTAGAGGATACATCTGGTTAGTATTTGTAAAAGAAAATCATATTTTGAAACCCTGCTCCCTTTCAATGTAGGTGAATGCTATGAGGTGAAAACCTTACTTTCACCTATCCAATCAGGTTAATAGATCAGTGAGTACTACAGCTCCTTCATCAGTGCTCTCCCCTCACTCCTCCTCAAATCCCCACCCTCCCTCAAAAGAAACAGATCTAGATGTCCACACAGGGTGGTTTTTTGACAGATGACATTTATTTCACCAGGCATCTGACATTAGAACTGCTACAGTACAGAGTCAGCCATTTTGGGGAGTGCCATCTACAGTACAGAGTCAGCCATTTTGGGGAGTGCCATCTACAGTACAACTCCAGAGGGGAACCCAGGACTGGTTTCAATACATACCATTTTCAATAGAACAAGTGAATCAGACCAGGGCTACATCTGAAATGGCACCCTATTCCCTATATAGTGCACTAGCATTTGCCCAGTGTCCATCGGGCTCTGGGCAGAAGTAACGCACTACAAAGGCAATAGGATGCCATTTCAGATGCAGACCAAGAAACATAACAGGATGACAGGGTCAGGGAGAGAGGCTCTGTTCAAAAGCATTAAGAGTGCTGTTAGAACACCGTCTCCGTATTATGGTCCTCAGTTTCCCTTGTGGAGCGAGTTTTGGTGATCAACAAAGCTAACAATCAGTTGATTTCATCAAACAATACTGTTTCCATATACATAATGTGTTGCTGGCTGCTGCTACTACTTTAACATTCTATAGTCCCAGCAGACAGTGGATCCGATTGAACATTTGACAGCTTACACAAAGGTTGGGGTCAATTCCATTTAAATTCTAGTCAATTTAGGAAGTATACTAAAATTCCATCTCTAATTTGGGTTACTTTCTGAATTGACTGGAATTTAAATGTGATTGACCACAGCCCTGGCTCACACCAATCACAAATGTGGCAGGTGTAATGTACAATATAACTGCCACACAGGATACAACCACCATACACAGGGGACTTCCAGGACCAGGATTGGGAGAGGCTTACAGTACAGGCACAGGTAAACGGCTCCTCTCCTCCTCACACTTTACACTATTATATACAGTACTTAACTACGGTTACCAGGTGGACCTCACCTGGAGTCCGGAACAGAAGACCTCTATGGGTCAAAGGTGAGCAAACAACTTAGCAGCACAGGCATTAGGTTAGTTCATAACGTATTAGAGGGAGGGTGTGGTAACAGCATTAAGAGAACCGTACATTCCTACATAGATATAAACTATGAGTAGTGGATAAGTGAGTGAAAAGAGTCAGTGTATCCTCAAAGAGACATTGTATTTGCACACAGAGTAAGGACTACAAGTAAAGACTAAGATAGCAGAGAGAAGGTGATTGACTGAAGGCGTTTTCCAAGTGTTTACAAGAGTATTGTTAGTGTATCCAGTTCACAGGTAAAGTACAAGACAAGTTTCACAATTTGGTCAGCGACAGTAAATGGGAGCTGAATTCGAAGCAAAATAACATTTAAACCAAGCAATTTAAGGGGGTGCGGTGATTTGTCAGTCGACATAAAGCCACATTGATATCAGGTAAGGAGGGACAGTGGTTCTGCTTACAGTGCAGAAGAAAGGCTTCTGTTCCTTTGCTGTGGCACTGGAGAACCTGGTCCGGGTCTTGTAGGCCAGCTACAGAGCCCAGTGGCCAGCTACAGAGCCCAGTGGCCCACCCGATCCTCTTTACCTCCTCTCCGCACCACTCTCCTTCATTAACTCCCCCAGCCCAGAAAGACACTCAAGATCTACCTCTATATGTGTGTGTGTGTGCGCACCTGCATGTGGGTTTGCGTGTGTAAATATGACCCTTGTGGGCTTCCTAAATACTTAATATGAGCTGAGAGGGAAAGATGTCTACCAAGCAAACTGTGTTTATTCTGCACAAGTCAGTGCTACTGCCAGGCAGGTTAGACTAGATATATTTCCCTAAGGAGACATCTCTCTCACTCTGGAGAAAAACTACAGCTACTTTTGCTGAGATAAGATTCCATTCCTGCGGGCTTGCACAGCTGTCATGGTTACAGTATGTGGAGGCTGGGGGGTGGTTTCCATGGTTTCCAAGGTTAAAGGTCAGAGGTAAAAGTGCTAGTCAGCAACGTCCCAGGTTAAGGGTCACGGCGGGAGGTCACGGCCATGTTCAGTTACTGGCCACCTCGTCAGCGGTGTCCACCATTGTTTCTAAGGTACAGTCGAGTCCGCCCCGGGCACGCCAGATCTTCACCGTTCGATCACTATCAAATTATAGAGCAGAAACAGTGTCACTGCAATGGCTGTATCCAGGGGTTTGTGTGTATGCATGCGTGTGTGTGCTTGTGTTCTGTGACTCACTCAGATGCTGTGAAGAGGTGGCTGCTGTTGGTGGAGATGCCGTTGATGGGGCTCTCGTGGCCCTTGAGTTCCCCCAGGGCCCCCAGTGTGTCTGTGTGCCAAAGCTTGAGCACCCCTCCTCTACAGCCACTCAGCAGGGCTGGAGAGCCAGGCACCACACCCAGGGCACACACCCAGTCACGGTGGGCGTTGGGCACAAGCTGTTAGACACATAGGCAACTTAGTACATACAGACTCCGTTTTCCATTCAACTAGTTTTCAGGTAACAGTATTTATCAAATATCTTTCCAGTTAAAATACCCGCCGCCCACTTCAAGCACCACCTCCCCAAAAGCATGATTCGCCAAAATAGTCAGTGACACTTCTCCCTTCCCCCTGTTATGCAGGTTAGCATTTATTGTTATAAATCTTGCCCTGGAGGTCACTAGCTGGCACAGCCACAACATCTGATTTTAAACCTAACCCTAACTACACTGCCAACCCTAACCACACTGCCAACCCTAACCACACTGCCAACCCTAACCACACTGCCAACCCTAACCACACTGCCAACCCTAACCACACTGCCAACCCTAACCACACTGCCAACCCTAACCACACTGCCAACCCTAACCACACTGCCAACCCTAACCACACTGCCAACCCTAACCTTAAATGAAGACCAAAAAGCTAATTTTAGTCTTCATACATTTTTACGACATAGCCAATTTTGACTTTGCAGCTGGACCATCTAGCAGAAATCTATCAGTTCTGGCTCCAGGGCAAGATTCATGAAAATAAACATCATCCTGTCTCTGTTACCTGCAGTAGGTCTTTGCGGGCTAGGTCCCACTTCTTAATGCCGTTGTCCCTGGAGCCACTGAAGAGGACGTCCCCCTGCACCACCAGGGACTCGATACCGTCATAGTGGGGAGGCTCAAAGTTGTGTGTGGGGCCGATAGCACCCAGGGCCCCCTCTGTCACGTCAAACATCTGAAACAGACAGCCCATCAACAACACTATTCAAGTCACAGCAGAGAATCAGCTAAGCTAATTCGTATTGCATAGAAAACAAATACAAGATCCATATGCAAACATGAAACAACATGCAGAAAAAGGCCTCTGACTGAAACATCAACACAATGCAGAGATGTAATATCATGTGTGTGGCAGCTTATTTTCTACAATGAATATAAGCAGAACACACACACACCATAACGCACTCTCACACACCATAACCTACTCACACACCATAACACACTCTCACACACCACAACAAACCCTCACACACCACAACACACCCTCACACACCATAACCCACTCTCACACACACCATAACCCACTCTCACACACACCATAACACACCCTCACACACCACAACACACCCTCACACCATAACCCACTCTCACACACCATAACCCACTCTCACACACCATAACCCACTCTCACACACCATAACCCACTCTCACACACCATAACCCACTCTCACACACCATAACCCACTCTCACACACCATAACCCACTCTCACACACCATAACCCACTCTCACACACCATAACCCACTCTCACACACCATAACCCACTCTCACACACCATAACCCACTCTCACACATCATAACACACTCTCACACACACCATAACACACCCTCACACATACCCTCACCATAACCTACTCTCACACACCATAACCCACTCTCACACACCATAACACTCACAATAACCTACTCTCACACACACCATAACACTCACAATAACCCACTCTCACACACACCATAACCCACTCACACACACACCATAACCCACTCTCACACACACCATAACCCACTCTCACCTTGATATAATGGTCCTTGGAGCCGCTGATGACCAGATCCTGACCGTTCCCGCTCTGGTCTACAGTTAGACACATAACTGGACCCAGGTGACCAGTCAGCTTCCCTGTGGATACAAATCTGACAGAGAGAGAGAGAGAGAGAGAAGTGGGCCTTTAATATGATAGCAAATCTTCTGAGATGCACTGCGTTACTGCAAGAAAGACAACCTGGAATGACAACAGTCACTGAGAGAACAGGTGCAAGCTCTACAACAGATCAGCAAGGGAATATACATTCAATACAAGCAGTAACCTCTAGATCTATCATATATCTGCACATTATAGTAGTGAGAAAGAGAGAATTGTTCTGAAAACAGAAGCTTTTTTCTGGACTTAGCACTGACAAAATGACTGCCATGCTGTGCCATAGTGTACCTTCCTAGGTCCCAGACTCTGACAGAGTTGCCGGCGGCAGCATACAGGACAGAGCCGCTGGGGTTGAGGGCGATCTGGTTGATCTGGTTCTCTCCTGCCGGGATGGTGACCTTCCGGTTGGTGCTGGACGCACAGGCGTCGCCAGGAGTCACCTGACCAGAAGACCTGTGGAATATGATGATTCTGTTAAACACTTCATTCTATCCTGAAAATGATCTACAAATCCAGGTAAATCTTCAACTGATTAAGCCCAGATTGTCTGTATTTATTAATAATAGGTGTAACACGTGCACTGGTGTTATGATTGAGTCAAGTTTATCATATACTGGTGATACAGATGTCATTGTGTAGCCTACCCCCCCCAAAATGGTTATGGTGTTGACACTCTTATGGCGTTGACGTTATGGTGTTGACACTGTTTCTGTGTTGACACTCACGTGAGGGTGCGGATGCACTTGGCTGAATCTCGGATGTCCCAGACCTTGATGTAGGAGGTGGAGACGGTGAAGACCAGGCTGGAGCTGTAGCGGACTGACACCACATTGTTTTGGTGACCCGCCAGGGACATGATTTCCTGACCCGTCACCAGGTTCCACACCTTACACGTACGGTCTGAAAGGAGGGGAGAGGGGAGGGGAGACAATACTGTGTGTCAGCCTCATAACAACAACAAGACATGAGACATTATTCATGAGACATTATTGATCTGTGATCAATTATAGTGATCCGCTGATGAAGGTGAGTGAGGAAGAGAAGTGGACAGAGTCTGACCTTTGGAGCCGGTGAAGAGGAGGTCATCAGTAGAGTCAACACACAACACAGCTTTAGTGTGACCCTCAGCCACATGGACACATTGTAGTGTTGCTGACCGACTGCCCTTTGAGGAGGGCACTGGGTTGATCACCCCTCTAGAGGAAGAAACCACGCACACACAGGTATTGAGATGTCCATAGCAGGATCAGAGAACATGGTAACTGATATCGCCTACTTACGTTTTTGAAAATCATATACTGTAGTAGGATACAGAACTATCTAAACATAGCAGTCTAAATGCCACCTCCCCCACACACAGTACTGCTATATAAAGAGCACTACCCAACAGCCCATCACTGCAGCCACAGATGCATACACATTACATGCAGCCGTTTGGCCAGTTAGCAACATGCTGCAAATCAAAGTAAAAAATGAAGCACCCAAAGTGACAGTGTCCGTCCACAAGAATGGTCAGGCTAAGTCCCAGAGAAAAGCCTGCCTGTGTACCATTTTACATTTATGGAACCACTCTCCTCCCAGCCCACAACACATCAACACACTGGCTAAGACAGGGGGAACACAAGTAAATATTGGTGGCGTAACTGGCAGAGATTTTCAATAGAGCTGAAAGTAACATTTTGTTATAAACACAATCCTTCTACAATGACAGTACTTTCACTTGAAACTTTAATTCTTGTTCTTGAATAAAAGTTGTTGGGTGACAAAAACAATTCCTTGTGCAGGTAGGGACACACCAGATAAAGCACACCGTGTGAGTGAGTAAGCAAGTGACAGTAGCGTGGATGAAGTCTCCACCCACGAATGTCAACAGAAGGAAAATAGATACTTGGAAAGGAAATCTGAGGAAAACGCTCAAGAAATTCTACCAACACTTCTCCTGTGCTACACGTGGAGAGAACACGCTTGATCATTGTATCTCTCCCTTCCGGGACGGCTACAAGGTCCTCCCCCGCCTCCCCTTCGGCAAATCAGAACACGCCTCCATCCTGCTCCTCCAGAAACTTAAACAGGAAGCACCCATGGTAAGGACTGTTCAACGCTGGTCTGACCAATCGGAATCTATGCTATAGCTCAGCCTTCAACACCATAGTGCCCTCCAAGATCATCACTAAGCTAAGGGCCCTGGGTTTGAACCCCTCCCTGTGCAACTGGGTCCTGAACTTCCTGACGAGCCGACCCCAGGTGGTGAAGGTAGGCAACAACACCTCCACTTCGCAGATCCTCAACACGGTGACCCCACAGGGGTGCGTGCTCAGCCCCCTCCTGCACAACCTGTTCATCCAACTCAATCATTAAGTTTGTTGAGGACACAACAGTGGTAGGCCTGATTACCAACAACGACGACACAGCCTACAGGGAGGAGGTGAGAGCCCTGGTGGTGCCAGGAAAATAACCTCTCCTTCAACAAAACGAAGGAACTGATCATGGACTACAGGAGACAGCAGAGTGAACACGCCTCCATCCACATCCTGCAACATTATTTTGTTGAAATGTAAGTTGATCTCTGAGAAATCGATTACTCACTTTATATGTACATACTGTATTCTGGACATAGCTCATCCTATAGAACTACTGCCGTACACACAGTATTCTGGACATAGCTCATCCTATATAACTACTGCCGTACACACAGTATTCTGGACATAGCTCATCCTATATAACTACTGCTGTACATACTGTATTCTGGACATAGCTCATCCTATATAACTACTGCTGTACACACAGTATTCTGGACATAGCTCATCCTATATAACTACTGCTGTACACACAGTATTCTGGACATAGCTCATCCTATATAACTACTGCCGTACACACAGTATTCTGGACATAGCTCATCCTATATAACTACTGCTGTACACACAGTATTCTGGACATAGCTCATCCTATATAACTACTGCTGTACACACAGTATTCTGGACATAGCTCATCCCATATAACTACTGCTGTACATACTGTATTCTGGACATAGCTCATCCTATATAACTACTGCTGTACATACAGTATTCTGGACATAGCTCATCCTATATAACTACTGCTGTACACACAGTATTCTGGACATAGCTCATCCCATATAACTACTGCTGTACATACTGTATTCTGGACATAGCTCATCCTATAGAACTACTGCTGTACATACTGTATTCTGGACATAGCTCATCCTATAGAACTACTGCGGTACATACTGTATTCTGGACATAGCTCATCCTATATAACTACTGCCGTACACACAGTATTCTGGACATAGCTCATCCTATATAACTACTGCTGTACATACTGTATTCTGGACATAGCTCATCCCATAGAACTACTGCTGTACATACCTTTTCCTACTTGTATGTTGTCTATACACACACACACACACACACACCACATATTTATATTCGGGACTCTGATATTCCTCGTTCTGATATTTCTTAATGTCTTGGGGTGGAGGGATTATTTGTGCATTAGTATTGTACTGTTAAACACTTACAGCACTGCTGGAGCTAAACACATTAGCATTTTGCTGCACCTGCTTTAACATCTGATGATCTGTGTGTGCGACAAATAAACTTGGATTTGATAGAGATTTTTACTTGTCCCGTGTGCGTGTGGGAAAGGGAAGGTGATCTAGAACAGGCCAGGGGAATTCTGTGGACAATGATGTTTTTCTAAATCTTGCTAGAGGGGTGACAAAGTGTCTTGAGTGGTTTAGATGTAGCTCCTAATGTGCAGTTGAGAGAGAGAGAGAGCTCACCAATCCCAATATTATAGCCTACCTAATGTATGCAGCATACCTGTAAACAATACATGTGATTGGTAATTTGACTGCCAGGGCCTCCTTGCTCATAAAGTTAGTTGTATAGACTATAACTAACTTTTTGAACTAAAAGTAATGCTTATTACTTATAAAATGTGTATAACTTAACTATAATGTATGCTTATTACTTATAACCTATGTCTTCCTCTTACTTATCCTGCGGTCTGTCTACTCTCTCCAGACACCCTGTCAGACGTACAAATACGTTGCCTTGGCTACGAGGGCGGTTGGAGGGGGAGGATGGGGGAGACGGGGTGCTGGCGTCGGAATTCCTCGTATCACAGCTGGTACAGTGGACAGGGAGGCTGAGGCTCAGTTTACATACATAAGCAGAGGACAAGTCAGTTGCCTTTGAACTGAGTGTGTACAGTGTACTGTACAAGATCTCTCACACACACACACACACACACACACACACACCCAGTGGAAATGCGCATTCATGCACGCACGCACATACACACACCTCAGATAGTATAGGCTAAAATAGATAAACATCTTTCATTGTTGGAAACTATCCCTTTATGTCTTCTCTGAAACCCTTCCTATCCACCTGCACTCATTTCTGAGACTCAGCACAAGTCTTTTCACGTTTGGTCGAAGAACATTGAGTTGTGCATGCTCATCACCTGTTGTCATGAGAACTGATCGGGAAAGACCGTTTGTTCACTCAGGGTTTGAATCAAAATGGAAACAGCTTTCAGCATGGTTCCCCTCACCCTGACCTTTAGCTTTTTAGATTACATCCACTTCAAAGTGTTTGAGAGGAATAGTTGGTTAGCGCTGCAATGACAATATATAGGATTTATATATCGTATTTGCCAAATATGCATTAGAGAGTTTGAAGAGGTTGAGAGGGTCAAGTTGAACACTGAATTAAAATGGAATACTAAAGAATCGCTTTGAGAAACAGAAGTAAATAATTTAGTCTCATTCAAGAGGGATATAGGAACGTATTTAGCTATATTTCCCAAGAATAAGCTCAATACTTGATATTCAGTGCAGAACTTGGCAGGGTAAGTTTATAATCACACCAGGCAGATAATTGTTGATTAAGATAACACCACATGCTTCCTGAGATAGGATATTCAGGAAAGGGAAAGGTGGATATCATGGGCTGTTGGAAAAAGATGTGCTTTTGGCCTCCGGCCACCAGAGCGTCGCTAGTCTCTTACTGTTTGATCTCCTTGACCTTAGCCGCCGCTTGTGCCCTGTCATAGGTCTTCCTGCGAGAGAGCGGCGAGGGCTCTGGAACTCTCTTTTCCGCCCCCGAGGAGGAGGCAGCTCTGCAGCCGGAACTAGCATTTAGTTTGATTGTTATTAGCAACGACAAAAAACATAAGGAACAAAAAGGACAACAAGGATGTAAACAAAATCAGAAATAAAACAATATGGAGGCGGTGAGCATGTGGTACACACATAGCACACTGTTACCTGACATTCATCCTCCTTCACGAAGCTTGTGGTTCATAAAGGACACTATGGTGTAGCATTAGGGCTATATATACTGTATCACACTCAAATCAGTCCCCCAGCTCCACATCTTACTAATTCAAGTCAAGCTAGAATTGGTTCTCAGCTAAGATTCCAGCTCAAGCCATAGAAAGCTACAGTGCACTACTGGCTAGCATTATTAACTATTTGCTTTACATGTTAAAAGATGCAGCTGCTATTATTGTGGAAAGTTAACATAGGCCTATTGCATTTGGAGCATAGCATCTAGCGAGAGAACATGAGACCTGCATGGTCATCCTGTACAAGCCTCATAATCATGTGCGTGGTTGTGGGTCTGTCTCTGTGTTTGCATGCATTTGTCTGTCTGTAGTGTTAGTGTTATTTCTAAAGGGATATGTTTTGGTTTCTACTGGCCGAGGAAGGAGACTTACAATCCAATAGGGCAGGTTTAAAGAACATGTCAGGCAAGGTCAGGCAAAATTAAAACAGATTAAGCAGCAGTTATATTAACATGCAGGAAGCAGATGGTTAACAGTTAGCAGTTAGCATGCGCTGGCCCAGACTTACATGCTGCCCATCTTAGAGGACAAGCCAGGAGAATGAGCCATATAGTCTCTGTCCCTGACTGATGAGCCAATGGGGGTCTCAGGATCTCTGCCCTCTTCTGGTGTTTCAGCCAATTGGAGACAGGGGGAGGAAAAATCTCCGCTGGGCGTGTCATGGGCGGCGTCACTATTGGCGTAGAGCAACTCCATCTGAGTGGTGGTTCTTCTACGAGCCTGTGAGGGGAGAAACACATTTACATTCAAGAAAACACCAATGTCCCCACGAGGTCAATAAAACAAGACCACACACACGTCCCCACGAGGTCAATAAAACAAGACCACACACACGTCCCCACGGGGTCAATAAAACAAGACCACACACACGTCCCCACGAGGTCAATAAAACAAGACCACACACACACGTCCCCACGAGGTCAATAAAACAAGACCACACACACACGTCCCCACGAGGTCAATAAAACAAGACCACACACACGTCCCCACGAGGTCAATAAAACAAGACCACACACACACGTCCCCACGAGGTCAATAAAACAAGACCATACACTAACACACTAATAGGCTGATAATGGTACCTTGCTCCTGGTTTTGGTCTCTCCACAGAGTTTCATTAGATCTGATGCCAGGGAGCTGGAACGAGGAAGTGGAATACATTACTTACCATAAAACTATAAGTCAAATGTTTACCATTTTGTTTTGTAATTTGAGTGATACTGACTGTCCCTCTGTTGCAGGACTCTGGGCAGATTCGTCACTGCTGCTGTCCTCCCCGTTCTCTGTGAAATTAGAGTACCCAAAATGTCAGTTGAACTGTATGTCAGAGCCAAACAACATCCATAGAAAATGATTATTCTTTGTGTGTTATGACTAAATTCCAACAAACTTTTAAAGTTCTGTCTAGTAGTCCAAATACCTGCCCATTGTCCAACCAAACATGGAACAAGGGTAAAACCGTTTACTGAACCAAAGGTTATCCTAGTACTGTGTTGGCTACAAACAGATGTCAACAATATGTGGTTTATATTATTGAACAAGGTAGATGTGGTGATAATGGACAAGGAGAAGAAGCAGATGAATATGATGTCAGCGCAGCGCCATGCCGTTTTATACAAGTTGCCTGAAAAGACCTGAAAAGACCTGGTCCTTGTCCAGTCACTGAGATGGAAGGGTTGACAGGGCTCAGGGTTTTGAAAGGGTGAGAGGGTAAAGAGAGGTCAGATGTGAGGGGCTATGAAGGGAGGGGAAAACCGAGATGAGAGGTCAACAAGGTAGGAATCATTAGTCTGACTGTCGCTCCCGGGGCAGTGTGGTTTGCCTACAGGGTCCAACTGAGACAAACTTCCTGGTTCTACCTGGGAAGGGCAGGGTCCTCTGAAGATACAGGTACAGTAGTTATATTAACAGGTGCTACACTATAAGGCATGGTGGCTAGAACACACAGTAAGCTGAGACTGGGAGAGGGGTTCTTTCACATTGGGAGGAAGAGAAGGGTCAGCTGACAGATGGAGGGAGGCCTGAAGACACATTGGGAGGAAGAGAAGGGTCAGCTGACAGATGGAGGGAGGCCTGAAGACACATTGGGAGGAAGAGAAGGGTCAGCTGACAGATGGAGGGAGGCCTGAAGACACATTGGGAGGAAGAGAAGGGTCAGCTGACAGATGGAGGGAGGCCTGAAGACACATTGGGAGGAAGAGAAGGGTCAGCTGACAGATGGAGGGAGGCCTGAAGACACATTGGGAGGAAGAGAAGGGTCAGCTGACAGATGGAGGGAGGCCTGAAGACACATTGGGAGGAAGAGAAGGGTCAGCTGACAGATGGAGGGAGGCCTGAAGACACATTGGGAGGAAGAGAAGGGTCAGCTGACAGATGGAGGGAGGCCTGAAGACACATTGGGAGGAAGAGAAGGGTCAGCTGACAGATGGAGGGAGGCCTGAAGACACATTGGGAGGAAGAGAAGGGTCAGCTGACAGATGGAGGGAGGCCTGAAGACACATTGGGAGGAAGAGAAGGGTCAGCTGACAGATGGAGGGAGGCCTGAAGACACATTGGGAGGAAGAGAAGGGTCAGCTGACAGATGGAGGGAGGCCTGAAGACACATTGGGAGGAAGAGAAGGGTCAGCTGACAGATGGAGGGAGGCCTGAAGACACATTGGGAGGAAGAGAAGGGTCAGCTGACAGATGGAGGGAGGCCTGAAGACACATTGGGAGGAAGAGAAGGGTCAGCTGACAGATGGAGGGAGGCCTGAAGACACATTGGGAGGAAGAGAAGGGTCAGCTGACAGATGGAGGGAGGCCTGAAGACACATTGGGAGGAAGAGAAGGGTCAGCTGACAGATGGAGGGAGGCCTGAAGACACATTGGGAGGAAGAGAAGGGTCAGCTGACAGATGGAGGGAGGCCTGAAGACACATTGGGAGGAAGAGAAGGGTCAGCTGACAGATGGAGGGAGGCCTGAAGACACATTGGGAGGAAGAGAAGGGTCAGCTGACAGATGGAGGGAGGCCTGAAGACACATTGGGAGGAAGGGAAGAGAAGGGTCAGCTGACAGATGGAGGGAGGCCTGAAGACACATTGGGAGGAAGAGAAGGGTCAGCTGACAGATGGAGGGAGGCCTGAAGACACATTGGGAGGAAGAGAAGGGTCAGCTGACAGATGGAGGGAGGCCTGAAGACACATTGGGAGGAAGAGAAGGGTCAGCTGACAGATGGAGGGAGGCCTGAAGACACATTGGGAGGAAGAGAAGGGTCAGCTGACAGATGGAGGGAGGCCTGAAGACACATTGGGAGGAAGAGAAGGGTCAGCTGACAGATGGAGGGAGGCCTGAAGACACATTGGGAGGAAGAGAAGGGTCAGCTGACAGATGGAGGGAGGCCTGAAGACACATTGGGAGGAAGAGAAGGGTCAGCTGACAGATGGAGGGAGGCCTGAAGACACATTGGGAGGAAGAGAAGGGTCAGCTGACAGATGGAGGGAGGCCTGAAGACACATTGGGAGGAAGAGAAGGGTCAGCTGACAGATGGAGGGAGGCCTGAAGACACATTGGGAGGAAGAGGGTCAGCTGACAGATGGAGGGAGGCCTGAAGACACATTGGGAGGAAGAGAAGGGTCAGCTGACAGATGGAGGGAGGCCTGAAGACACATTGGGAGGAAGAGAAGGGTCAGCTGACAGATGGAGGGAGGCCTGAAGACACATTGGGAGGAAGAGAAGGGTCAGCTGACAGATGGAGGGAGGCCTGAAGACACATTGGGAGGAAGAGAAGGGTCAGCTGACAGATGGAGGGAGGCCTGAAGACACATTGGGAGGAAGAGAAGGGTCAGCTGACAGATGGAGGGAGGCCTGAAGACACATTGGGAGGAAGAGAAGGGTCAGCTGACAGATGGAGGGAGGCCTGAAGACACATTGGGAGGAAGAGAAGGGTCAGCTGACAGATGGAGGGAGGCCTGAAGACATTACACCTCATGCACCTGCTCATGTTATGTTGCTGAGTTAGTTTCCAGGAGGGGGACCCATGCATTCATATAAACATATATATATATATAGAGAGAGAGAGTCTGGTGTCTGTTACTTACCCACTGGCATGTTACCTAGCTCTGTATACATTAAGGCACCATGGGCGGGGGCAGAAAAAAGGCAACACACAAATGAAAAACACATTCATTCATTCCCCCATAATCACAAACCAAATCAAGTCCAAAAGAAAAGACGGTTCAAAAGTCAGGACATCCTCCTCAACAGATGCTGGTGAAAATAGAAAAACATTAAATGGAACCATAATAAATGGTCAGCTCAATAACAAAATGTCAACCCCGTAACAAAATATAAGCTCTATAACCATGAAACAAAAACTGATGGGTTTCCAAACTTGATAAATAATGTAACACAAAAACGACAGCGCCAGAGAGGCTTTCTTAGTCCAACTGACATTTGTGTGATTGCAAAAAAAAATTGGGGTGACTTTTGAAAGCAGCATCTATTCAGGAGGAGGCAACGAGCGAGAGCAACTTAACAGGCTCAAATCATCATGCAGTAGACCATAACCACCCAGCCCTGGTTCTGGAGGCCATCCCAACAAAGCAGTGGGCTGACAAGGTGAACACCAACACGCAGGTAAACTTCAATGACTTTGCTTAGTTATTTTTGCTTAGTTATTTATTCAAGCCTACATGATTATGGGGTGAGCCAGGCCTGATAGCATTGTGGGCTTGACCTCACGGACCTCCAGTGGCAAGGGGTGAGTAGGTCAGGGTCAAGGCCTTGGACTGAACTACAGATGTAGGATCTTAATTTGAGCCAGTTCGCTACAGCAGGAAAATAATCCTCAAATGATAAATGTTTCATTAGGGCAAATCAAGTCTGACATTTTAAAGTGGAAATTACAAACTTTAGAAGCATTTTAAAATCTTGAATACACTACAAGCTTGCATTTCCTGCTGATCCTACATCTGTATACATTTTTCAGTGTGTGGCTGGCGGGCTGGAAGGTTGGGGTTAGGACTGTTACCTTGCAGAGCATTCCCCAGCAGGGCGTCCAGTTCGGGGTTAAACTCAGCCTTCTCCTTCAGCATGTGGAACAGCAGCTGGTTCTGAGTGGCACTGGTGATCTCAGTCTGCTTCAGCCTGCCCTCCATCACCTTCACCTGGGACTCCTTCTGAGCTGCCTGCAGACCCTGGGATGGGGTGGAGGTCAAAAGGTCAATGGTCAGCTATAAGACGGGTCACTAAGAGTCAACAATCCGAGCTATGCTTGTGTGGAATACTTCACAGAACACACACAAAAGATGAATACACAATGAGGAGGGTGCTTGTGCATACACACACAGAACTAAACACATTTACAATCGTAGAAACTGACTTTAATTGGGTACATATGGAACCTGGGTTTAAACTAAGTCAATTCCAGGTGAAACCAATGGTGTGAGAGACGGGGTAGGAACTAGGGAGGGACAGGTAAACGGCAGTAAGTTATTTACTCTGTTGATAGCCATAGACATGAAGTGGTCCAGCAGGAAGCGGGCTTCTGTTAGGGTACAGGAGCTGATGACGGCGGAAACATCCACCGTGTCAACCTCCTCCTGTAAATGCAGATATTATGGTCACACAGTCTGGAAAAACTGCCTAATATCAGCCCAATTACCTTCCTGCTTTTAGGGTACATGTTACTCAAAATCATGGAATAGCTCTTTGGTTTGCGAGATCTGTGCTGCTTGGGAGCCCTGATTGGCCATGGGTGGATCTCAAAACTCTTCTGTGGCTTCTTCCTCGTCCCCACTCCTCAATTTTTAGAGACACTTACTGCTAATGATTACGGTCTGTCTGTCTGTGTCCGTGTGCCTGTCTGCGTGTGTGTCTGTCTGTGTCACCTTGGCTTCCTCCATCTGCATAATGTTGGCCTGGCAGTCAGCGATGCTGTCGTTGATGTAGTCTATGTTGGCCATCACGGCGTCCACTTCCTCGTTGAGGTGAAGCACCGCCTTCTCGGCCTCAGGCCCCTCCCCCGCCAGCCTGTCCCTCTTCCTGGTCAGCTTCTCCCTCCGCTTGGTCAGCTCCTCACGTTGCTGTGGAGGAGGGAGGAAAGATGGAGGGGGGAGAGTGGAGTAGGAGGGAGGGTGTACGGGGGAGGAGAGGAGAGAGGAAGCAGGGAAAGGAGGGGTTTGCCAACGTTTTCAATATTAATGTTAATGCTAACACCGCTAATTTAGCGTAACATAGTATCATACCATTTGTAAACAATATTCACCAAATAAAAAGGTGAACAGCATTTAATGTTTACCAGTATTGAATGTTTACCAGTAGTTAATGTTTACCATTATTGAATGTTTACCAGAAGTGAATGTTTACCATTATTGAATGTTTACCTTGAGCAGGCGGTTCATTTCAGACTCCATGTTGGAGATGGTCATCCTCTGCATGATGACATCAGAGATACGACGCTCCAGAGACTGCCACTTCACCCTGGCCACTCTGGTGGAATATATGCCCGTCGACCGCCTGTAGTAGGACCTGAATAGAGAGAGGAGAGAGAATAGAGGCTATGAGGAGGAGGAGGAAGAGAGATGAGAGGAGGAGGAGAGAGAGGAGATGAGAAGAGATAGTCTAGAGGTAGAGAGAGGCGTTTTGCTTCTCGACGAGGATCTCGCTCTTGTAGAGATAGTATCTTTTTGGAGGGAGAGGAGGTAGATGTGGAGAGTGAGGAGAGAGAGAGACAACACCCCACAACCTCACTTTTGAGGCACGTACACTGTAGGTGTAGGTGCATGCAAGTCTCATGTTCTCTCGCTAGAAGCTGTTTTTTTCAACTGTAAAAGCCATACTGATTGCTCTACATACACCATGCAGTGTAATACAGAAACTCAAGCACATACACACACAAAACGGCACTGCAGTGACCTGTTGTCTAGTCCCTACCTGGTTCCGTTAGGGGCGGTGGAGCCAGAGGAGTGCAGGCGTCCTGAGGGGGGTCGGTGGGCGGAGTCCTGGAGGGGCTCTGGGAGACTTACCTTCCTGCTGGTCACCTTACCAGACATAGGCCTGGCCTGTCTCCTCAGAGCAGACACCTGGTACAGAGACACACACACACACGTAAGTAGACAGTCATCCGCCACCAGAATCACCACCGCCTGATGCTGAAGTTTGCTCATCTCAATAGAATAGTAGGAGCTTTATATTTTATTTACAAAACTGCCATGTTTCTTGTTATCAGTGATTTTGAACTGTCTTGAACTCTTATGAACAAAATCTGTCATTGACAGTCTACTCTCGCTTGTACCTCTGCTCTCTGACCCTGGCCAATGGTTCCTACTACCTCCGTTCCCAAGCGAATATCCTATTCCAGGTACCAAAGGTCACAACAGAATTTGGGGAAAAAAAAGCTTTTAGTTTCTGGTCCTAGGATAAACTTCAAAGTTCCTTGAACTTAGATAATTAGATCCAACTAGATCATTTCAAGTTGAGAGGATGTGTGTCACTGCTTCTAGTGTTGTGTAACTGTATAATATATATCACTGCTGTATACTACATCCTTTTACTACTACGTGAAGGCCCCAAGATGGCCGTTCATGTTGCTCACCTCCTCAGTCTTCCTGCGCAGAATGAGCTCCTGTTGTCTCTTCTGGGCCTCTAGTAGCTTCAGCTGGTGCTGTGGAACACACATTAACATGGCATTCAGTAACGCCAGTAGCATTAAGTTGCTAAAAATGTGCTTCAAGCTGGAATCCTTAAATTGTGAAACTGCCACAACTTTAGTCACTGGATAACGAGCTACAGGAAAAACAGTTTGGGTCAGCATGATGAAAAGGCTAGTACAGCGCCAAGCCTGTTAAACTAAGCTACGGATACTACGGTTCACCTCCTGTTTGCGCTGGTCCTTCTTGAGGGTAGCGATCTCTCTGTTCCTCCTGGACTCTGTCATCCTGTTCCTCTCCTGCTGCTCCTTCATCTGCTTCATCAGACGAACCTGCACAATACAGCGCATTCACATTTACATCAATATCAGTCTTGAATGACTTGACATTCCTAGCGGAGCGATGGAACTCAGCAGTGAACCCTGTTCTGGGCAGTTTGCTCGACTTCATTCTGGCCGATTCCTCACAACAATATCAGTACAGCATACATTTTGTACCAACAAACATCAACACTTCACAATGGCACTGTCATGTGAGTGCTTAACAGTGGTTAACAGTGTCGTTGCGTTTGTGGGTCAGGTTCAAGAACGTCTTCTTTCTACCTTTGTCTTCTTCATCTCCGTGACATCCATTTGAAGCTTCTTCAGCTGTGTCTCGTACTTGGATTGGTTCTTGAGAAGGCGTGCGTGTTCCTTCTGGGCTGACTGTAACTTCTGTAGTTCCCTGTTCATGACGCTCAGCTTCTTCTCGTACTCCTGCTTGATCTTCTTAGCCTTATCGTCGCTGCACGTCTCCACTGAGCCTGGGGGGGGGGCAAAGAGAAAAAAGGGTCATTTTTAGACCCAACGAACGCTCCAGCCCTGCTGTAACCCTTCACACCTGATTATATTAGTCAGTTGCTCACCAGGGGCCTCATTTATCAAAGGTGCTTGCAAATATACTCAAAATATTGCGTGCATCAGTTTTCCTGCAAATGTTGGTAGTTATACATTTTGAACTTGGCAGAAAAGTGTGCGTATCTCTACGCAAATCTCAAACCATCCGTGTGCACAACTTCTAGAAGGTTGATCCAACTGTATTGCAAGCAAAAATGCTTACTGTTCGTTTGAGGGAAATGGGAGGTATATGATGCACGGGAATTATAATAATGGTAGGCTACTGAAAACATTAAAACGTAGACCTAATGATAAAACAGATGCATTTGCCGTTGGCAAGGCGATCGCATAGCAGCATGTCGTCTAATGTGTTTATTTTACTTTTATTATATTGGCCTAAATCATAATCATATCGCAGGACGTCTCTCCTTTTCTGACAGAACTGATTTAAATTATTCACGCTACACAACAAATATTAGGCTACCATTTATCAAATCTCTCATTCAATAGCCAAGCATGCTGGAAAGTAAACAAACGGGAAGCCTTGACAGTATGAGACAGTATGGCTACATTTGCTGTGCGATAGGATTAGATGCGTGACATCATAGCCCATTTCATTTCAGAGCCTATACCAAGGCAGGAGATGGAAACACAATCATGTATTGATAAACAATATCATGAAAAACAATGTGTCTTTTGCATAGAAGAGTGGGCTGTAACATTTCCTTTTAAATTGTTCAAAAGGACAATCAATCTTGCAGAATGCGCGACCAGTGTTTGTCACTTGCTAGGCGCCATGGATTTTTTGTTTGGAGAAGTCACTGCAACATTCTGCCCACACCTCTACAGAAATGTGATCAAATTTGACATTGCGCTTTCTTTTATAAACTGTCATGGCCCAGTTCCCTTTCTTTTATAAACTGTCATGGCCCAGTTCCAACATGTCCAAATCATACATCATAAATCATCTCCAAATAAAAGGTAAATGGAGGGTGTTTTCCAGGCGGGACTGTTCACTACCGCACAAATATAATATGGCTCTGTTTATCAATGAAAACATGCATATATGTTTCTTACTAAATTCTGGCGTACGTGGAGATTCTAGGATTTGCGTAAGCCACAAATTATTGTGATTTATCCAACTTTCGCATGCAAATCCTAGAATCTCCACGTATGCCAGAATGTTTAAAGAAATGCACGCACGGTTGATAAATGAGGCCCCAGGACCTCAAGTGATCAGCTGAATCAGGTGTGTTAGAGTAGGGATAAATACAATCCAGCTCTCCAGTGGAGGGTTGGCCACCCCTGCTTTAAAATCAACAGATGGAATCATCCGTTCAATAGCCTTCGTGTTACAGGTTCTAAAGAACCACAGCAAAATAAAACTAAAACATCTTCACAGTGTCAACTGTAGCCAGTGACGGCCTTAACCATCTCCCATAGCTGTGCAGCAGTCACACGTTCCAGTTGGTACCGTGACGACACGTACCCATGTTGTGCAGCACCCGGTCTCTCTCCAGCTGCGTGTCTCTGATCTTACTCTGCAGCATCATCAGTTTCTGTTCGTACTGCTGCTTGAGCGTGTGCAGACGGCGCTGGCTGTTCTCCAGTTCATCTATCAGCTTCTGCTTGATGGCGATCTCACACGTGATGTTGGCCAGGTCCGCCTGGAAGTTCTCTGGTGGGTGAAGTATATTCACATGGGTTTCACATTGACAGACATATTCAGTAGATCTCACACAGTGATGTTGGCCAGGTCTGCCTGATAGTTCGCTGGCTGAAGTATATTAAACATGGTGAAATATACTTTAGCTGTGTTACACTCACTTTAAAATAAAACATATTGCCTTTTTCAACCAGGTAAGTTAATGAAACACATTCTCTACCAAAAACAATGTCTCATTTTGCAAGCATGTTAGTTACTTGATGCTACAGGGAGTCTCTAAAATAGATAACACTCCAAATGTTTTTGTCTTACCACAAATCAATGAGTGCATTTACATGCACACTAATAAATCCATGTTAAACTGATTATGGCAGTAGACGGAGTATGGCCTTACTTTGCTTATCTTAATCGGCGTAAGTAAAAAAATCAAAGTAAGCATCCGCCGATTAACGCACTTGGTTTTCTGAGCAATCTTTCTAATGATTAATTCCTGTAAACAGCTTAAATCGGCATTCAAGCAGTGTATTTGATCTGCTCATGTGACAGCACCGGTAACGCAAGCCTCCCTCTTATGCGCAAGTGAAGTGAGTTCAGAAAAACTTAAAAGTATGCATCTTAGAAATAGTTCACATACAAACTTTATATGTCCGAACTCAGAATCAAATAGGCTTCGCAAAAATAACATGTGGTAGAACGTTTATTATGATTTTCTGCATTTACAGTGCATGACTTTTCGTTACAACCTTATTCTAAAATTGATTACATTGTATTTTACCCCCTCATCAAGCTACACACAATACCTCATAATGACAAAGCAAAAAAAACAGATCCTCTCAAGCTCTGTCAGGTTGGATGGGGAGCGTCGCTGCACAGCTATTTTCAGGTCTCTCCAGAGATCCAGTTCGATCGATTCCGGGCTCTGGCCGGGCCACTCAAGGACATTCAGAGACTTGTCCTAAAGCCACTCCTGCGTTGTCTTGGCTGTGTGCTTAGAGTTGTTGTCCTGTTGGAAGGTGAACCTTCACCCCAATCTGAGGTCCTGAGCGCTCTGGAGCAGGTTTTCATCAAGGATCTCTCTGTACTTTGCTCCGTTCATCTTTCCCTTGATCCTGACTAGTCTCCCAGTCCCTGCTGCTGAAAAATTTCACCACAGCATGATGCTGCCACCACCATGCTTCACCGTAGGGATGGTGCCAGGTTTCCTCCAGACGTGACGCTTGGCATTCAGGCCAAAGAGTTCAATCTTGGTTTCATCAGACCAGAGAATCTTGTTTCTCATGGTCTGAGAGTCCTTTAGATGCCTTTCTTGCAAACTCCAAGCGGGCTGTCATGTGCCTTTTACTGAGGAGTGGCTTCCGTCTGGCCAATCTACCATAGAGGCCTGATTGGTGGAGTGCTGCAGAGATGGTTGTCCTTCTGAAATGTTCTCCCATCTGCACAGAGGAACTCTGGAGCTCTGTCAGAGTGACCATTGGGTTCTTGGTCACCTCCCTGACAAAGGCCCTTCTCCCCCAATTGCTCAGTTTGGCTGGGTGGCCAGCTCTAGGAAGAGTCTTCTTCCATTTAAGAATGATGGAGGCCACTGTGTTCTTGGGGCCCTTCAATGCTGCAGACATTTTTTGGTACCCTTCCCCAGATCTGTGCCTCGACACAATCCTGTCTCGGAACTCTACGGAAAATTCCTTCGACCTCATGGCTTGGTTTTTGCTCTGTCATGCACTGTCAACTGTGGGACCTTATTTAGACAGGTGTGTGCCTTTCCAAATCATGTCCAATCAATTGAATTTACCACAGGTGAACTCCAATCAAGTTGTAGAAACATCTCAAGGATGATTGGCCCAGCGTCGTAAAGTTTGGCCGGGGTAGATCGTCATTGTAAATAAGAATTTGTTATTAACTGACTTGACTAGTTAAATAAAGGTTAAATAATAAATAAATAAAATGTAAACAGGATGCACCTGAGCTCAATTTCGAGTCTCATAGCAAAGGGTCTGAATACTTATGTAAATAAGGTATTTCTGTTGTTATTTTTAACAAAAAAATCTAAAAACCTGTTTTCGCTTTGTAATTATGGGGTATTGTGTGTAGAATGATGAGGAAAATGTTTTATTTAATCCATTTTAGAATAAGGCTGTAACGTAACAAAATGTGGAAAAAGTCAAGGGGTCTGAATACTTTCCGAATGCACTGTATTTAAGTCCCATCAGGTAGCCTGATTTCAGATGTGTCCATGGAAACAGGGTTATTAGGAAAATAGTTATTGCAAAGCATGTAAACGTTTTATAACAAACTATTATATTAATCTGACTATCCACAATAATCGTATTATTGTATGCATGTAACCGTACTCACTGACTCAAACAAGGAGAGCCATGCCCCTTCTATACGGCCATTTTACCTTTCTCATCTGACTCAGAGTCTGAATCATCAGAGCTCTCCTCCACATCCATCTCCTCCTCTTCCTCCTCCTCCTCCTCTTCCTCCCCTTCCTCATGGTCACTCCCCTCCTGAGGTCACAAACAAAAACAGAATAGAAAATGATCCAGTGTCAGAAAAAAGCACTTCTCTTTTAATCCTGAGATACCATTGGACTAATAGGTTGTCAAATATACCATCTCAGGCTCGTCATTGGACTGCTCAGTCAGCTCTTTTTCCGTCCCCTGGTCTTGGTCGTTGTCGGGGACTTCTTCCTTGACGACACTAGTCGGGGACAACAGAGAGGCAGGGCGAGACAACATTGAACAAAGCAGACCAAAGGTTCAATAGTATTTATTTTCTAGAGGGGAAAAAAGACAACCAAAAGCAAACTAGCATGACAGAATATGCAGTGCAGCACAAAAAAAGTCAGTACAGTAATTATCTGTAAATGAACCTGTTTTTTTAAAAATATCTTCCAAAATAAAGGGTGTTAAAACCCCCCAGAGATAAGGCCATTGGTGGTGCATGAAAACAGAACCAATAGCTTTGTTTCCATCATATCAGCCAGTCGGGGTGAACAAACTGAAAGAAACAAGTGAGCACAGAAAGAACTGAGCTCAGGTTTTCCTTCTGGTGTGGCAACTGCCTGCTAAACAAAACAAAATGGCGGTTTAGAAGAAGCGAGGAATGGAAATGTGGTAAAGGGAAGGGGGAACCTGTGACAAACCTGCCATCCTCCTCCTCCTCCTCTACCAGCTCCTCCCTCTCTCTCTCTTCCAGCAGCTGCTGGAGCCTTCAGGGAAAGGTAAGGGTCAAAGGTCACAGGGGAGAGGACAGGGGAGAGATGACAAGGAAGGAACGAAGGAAGGAAAGAATGAAATCAGGGAGTACAGAGAAATGGAAGGAAGAGAAGTCATAGAGAGAAACATGGGGATCACAAACTGTTACTCACCACGGCAACACATTGAGGATATACGGTGTACAAGAATTGCCAGTGTGCTGGAGTTAGTTTTTTCCAAAACAAGAAAACATGAATCATTTGCTTCTATAACCACCATCCCCCTCTCTCTTTACCTCTTCTTCTTCTTCCTCTCCTTCTTCTTGAGTTTCTCCAGATCTTTCTTGGCCATCTCGATGATGTCGGAGGCCTCCTTCTCGGGGGCCAGTAGGGCAGGGGAGAAGGTTCCGGGGTAGAAGGACTGGCGTGAGGAGGCACGCGACAGGTTCTTACGCAGGTTCTCATTCATAGACTCACTTTCCAGGAGTTTGGCCCTAGGGGGAGGAGGGGGGTAACAGTAAAAATGTTCAGTTTGCAAATGTAACAAATTCAAATGACAAATAAAAAGTATTAATCTTAATATAGGGGAGACATTTATTTACCTAAGGTCCTCTATCTCTTTGATATAGCTCTGGATCATGTTCCCAATCTCTTCACTGCCCTCACCTGAATAACCAAAACATGAAAACTTTAGGAAACACACTTATGAACTGTTTAAGACGTGAGGGGATTGGCACAGACATATCGACACATACGAAAACACGCACATCACACCCCACTCACCTGCCCTGGCGAGGACCTGGTTGGCCTGGTCACTGAGGTACCGTGTGAGTCTGGCCCTCTGGGCGTCGATGGTCTCCTGCATGGCTTTGACCCTGATCCTCAGGTTACTGTTCTCTGTCTGCAGCATGGTGTTCTCATGGACCATGTCGTTGATGCTCTCCATACCGTCCTCTCCCACCATACGCTTACCCTACCAGAGGAAAATGGGTTTAGATAGTGAGTTATAATTCACCAAGGGGAAATGATTATCGGACGGTCATACCTCATTTCCATATACTCATATACCTGTTTTCTTTTTTTATCCAGTTATTTTCATCTTATTGACTTTCTCACTCTGCTCTATCCATACCCCCCCCCCCTCCCCATCTCTCTATTTCTCTCTCCCAGCCTCTCTCCCGCCGTGTCACAATATTTGACCCTTTCTTCAACTCTTAACTATGCCCTTCCCAACCTGCTGTCCCCTCCCTCCCTCCCTCCCTCCCGACCTCTCTTTCTCTTACCGTCCTATACTCCATCAGTTCCATCTGTAGCCTGGCGATTTCTGTCCTGAGAGCAGAGATCTGCTGGGAGGCCTTGTCCTGGTTCACCATCACCTTGTTCTTAATGTTCCTGGCTCTGTTAGCGTACTTCAACGCGTTCAGGGTCTCCATGAAGTCCCGGTCAGACGGACTGATGCAGGCTATCATCATCGTTTGGCTGAGGGTAATGGGAGAGTTCAAATTAACATGGGTTCCAGACTTTATGCATTCAACAACATAACAGCTTTGCCTTGGCAAGCCAACGACATGTGGGCAGAACAAGAAACAAACCCACACCTCAAAGCTGACTTATGTACAATTTGTATCGATTGACAAAATGCATTTAGTTTGACATGCACATCATACCAGATTACTATGACAACAACCCTTATAGAGAGAGGGAGAAAGGTCTGACCAATGGCAAACAGACCTGTTTCCACCCAGAGAGTCCTGTAGGAGCCGGGTGAGTTTGGAGTCTCTGTAGGGCACATGTGTGGATCGCTTGCTCCTGTCTCCCAAAGCACTGATTACATTCCCCAGAGCAAGCTGCAGTTTGGAGGAAATGACCAAGAAACACAACTCAGAAAAACAGATATTGAAGGGTATTTTCAGAAAGATTCTCATTCGAGGAGTCTATAGTCCTCTGTAGCTCAGTTGGCAGAGCATGGCACTTGCAACGCCAGGGTTGTGGGTTCGTTTCCCACGGGGGGCCAGTATGAAAAATGTATGCACTCACTAACTGTAAGTCGCTCTGGATAAGAGCGTCTGCTAAATGACTAAAATGTAAATGTAAAATGTGTTCATGCTGGGCTGTCACGACTTCACACAGTATTTGCAAGGTACTGATTTTAACCACTAGGTGGCACTTTAAGGTTAAGAAATAAGGAAGGTTCAGAACTTTTGTAAAACATCACAGTACAGTTGAAAAATATATGGCAAATAGAAATCCAATATGGATGGTATTAAGAGATAGATGGGAGGTTTTGAATGGAGCTGAAGGATGGGACTAATAACAACAACTAATAACAACAAGATAACTAATGTAAAGCATACTGTGTCCATAATAAGTATATAGGTTATAGGTTGAGAGCTTTTGTGAAAGAGCACAGTTAGAAAAATATGGCATATAGAAGCAAACCAGATGGACATCATGAAAATGATCGGAGGAAGTTCAGGAGTAAAAACAAACAAACTATAATTATTGTAGAATTTGACTGTGTCCATAAAATGTATATAGTATGTATGGGCTGGAAGTAGAGGCCTAAGTGTTGTTGTTCACTAGTTTACTCCAATTGGGGAAGGGGTGGTGGGGTTGGAAAGTAATGAAGGGAAATATAATTTAAAAAAGGATATGTGTGCGTGTGTGTATGGATGTATGTATATATGTAAGTCGCTCTGGATAAGAGCGTCTGCTAAATGACTAAAATGTAAATGTATATATGTATGTATGTGTGTATATACAGTGGGGAGAACAAGTATTTGATACACTGTCGATTTTGCAGGTTTTCCTACTTACAAAGCATGTAGAGGTCTGTAATTTTTATCATAGGTACGCTACAACTGTGAGAGACGGAATCTAAAACAAAAATCCAGAAAATCACATTGTATGATTTTTAAGTAATTAATTTGCATTTTATTGCATGACATAAGTATTTGATCACCTACCAACCAGTAAGAATTCCGGCTCTCACAGACCTGTTAGTTTTTATTTAAGAAGCCCTCCTGTTCTCCACTCATTACCTGTATTAACTGCACCTGTTTGAACTCGTTACCTGTATAAAAGACACCTGTCCACACACTCAATCAAACAGACTCCAACCTCTCCACAATGGCCAAGACCAGAGAGCTGTGTAAGGACATAAGGGATACAATTGTAGACCTGCACAAGGCTGGGATGGGCTACAGGACAATAGGCAAGCAACTTGGTGAGAAGGCAACAACTGTTGGCGCAATTATTAGAAAATGGAAGAAGTTCAAGATGACGGTCAATCACCCTCGGTCTGGGGCTCCATGCAAGATATCACCTCGTGGGGCATCAATGATCATGAGGAAGGTGAGGGATCAGCCCAGAACTACACGGCAGGACCTGGTCAATGACCTGAAGAGAGCTGGGACCACAGTCTCAAAGAAAACCATTAGTAACACACTACGCCGTCATGGATTAAAATCCTGCAGTGCACGCAAGGTCCCCCTGCTCAAGCCAGCGCATGTCCAGGCCCGTCTGAAGTTTGCCAATGACCATCTGGATGATCCAGAGGAGGAATGGGAGAAGGTCATGTGGTCTGATGAGACAAAAATATAGCTTTTTGGTCTAAACTCCACTCGCCGTGTTTGGAGGAAGAAGAAGGATGAGTACAACCCCAAGAACACCATCCCAACCGTGAAGCATGGAGGTGGAAACATCATTCTTTGGGGATGCTTTTCTGCAAAGGGGACAGGACGACTGCACCGTATTCAGGGGAGGATGGATGGGGCCATGTATCGCGAGATCTTGGCCAACAACCTCCTTCCCTCAGTAAGAGCATTGCAGATGGGTCGTGGCTGGGTCTTCCAGCATGACAACGACCCGAAACACACAGCCAGGGCAACTAAGGAGTGGCTCCGTAAGAAGCATCTCAAGGTCCTGGAGTGGCCTAGCCAGTCTCCAGACCTGAACCCAATAGAACATCTTTGGAGGGAGCTGAAAGTCCGTATTGCCCAGCGACAGCCCCGAAACCTGAAGGATCTGGAGAAGGTCTGTATGGAGGAGTGGGCCAAAATCCCTGCTGCAGTGTGTGCAAACCTGGTCAAGACCTACAGGAAACGTATGATCTCTGTAATTGCAAACAAAGGTTTCTGTACCAAATATTAAGTTCTGCTTTTCTGATGTATCAAATACTTATGTCATGCAATAAAATGCAAATTAATTACTTAAAAATCATACAATGTGATTTTCTGGATTTTTGTTTTAGATTCCGTCTCTCACAGTTGAAGTGTACCTATGATAAAAATTACAGACCTCTACATGCTTTGTAAGTAGGAAAACCTGCAAAATCGGCAGTGTATCAAATACTTGTTCTCCCCACTGTATATATATATATATATATTTATTTTTTTTAATTGCGAGAGAAAAAAACACAGACACAGCCAAACTCTCACCAGTCCACAGTTGATGGAGATTCCCTCCTTAGCTCGGTCTCCTGTAGCACCGGTTCTCTTCAGCCTTTCAGAACCGGCCAGGTCCACAAAGTGAAACTTGGCCGTCAATGTCTCATACTCTTCCATCTCTGAGTTGCCGTTAGCAATCCTGTTGTCCCACTCGTTGTTGTCTTTCTGTGAGGTAGAAATAATGGACGGCAGGTAGCCTAGTGGTTAAGTAACCAAAAGTTTGCTAGTTCGAATCCCAGAGACGACTAGGTGAAAAATATGTCAATGTGCCCTTGAGCAAGGCACTTAATCCTAATTGCTTATGTATGTCACTCTGGATAAAAATGTCCATGTAAATAACACCAAGATGGATGCCTTTGTTTCAGTGTCAAAAGCACTGTCCATGCCATTAATGTACCATAAACATAGAATGTCAGTACCATAAACATAGTATGTCAGTACCATAAACATAGTATGTCAGTACCATAAACATAGAATGTCAGTACCATAAACATAGAATGTCAGTACCACAAGTCAAAAGCACTGTCCATGCCATTAATGTAACATAACTTAGAATGTCAGTACCATAAACATAGAATGTCCATGCCATTAATGTACCATAAACATAGAATGTCAGTACCATAAACATAGTATGTCAGTACCATAAACATAGAATGTCAGTACCATAAACATACTACGTCAGTACCATTATAAAAGCACTTTCTATATATGTTATTAACATTAACCTAGCATAACATGATAGCGATTGAGTGGCTATATAATTTCTGTAACATGTCAAGGTTAGGAGTAACTCCAGTCACTGTCATAACATTTCATAACAGTGTCATAACACATGACAGGAGTCACCTAACAGTAACAAAAGGGTAGATACGGAATAAGAAAGGAGTTGGAAAGAGAGCAGAAAGGGCCCTCAGGCTAATGAACAAGCTGCTCTTGTACGTACCTTGTCAGATGCACAGACTCTGACTTGGCACAGGTGGATGGTGAAGATGGCATGAGAGCGGGAGCTCTGGACGTTCATCTGGGTGCTGGCGGTGGTACGACACAGAGCACCCAGCTTCAGACACTGCATCATCTGGGTGAGGAGACAGAGAGTAGATTGGACATGTGTGCCGTCACCGCGTAACAATCATTTTACAGTCCTACATTGTATATACACAGCCATACACATTTCTTCTGGACCCCCAGACTACACATCCCAACACATACAGTGTATCACACGCACGTACCTCTGCCTCGGAGGCTACCGTCCGTGTGGTCACCCCCACTGTGTAAATTCCGCCATTAGCGTCCTCGTGGATTTTTATGTGGGATTTCTGCGTCCGAGCCTCCAGGTCCCGTGTAGAGTCAAACAGATCCAGCACTTCCTCATTGTAAAGCTTAACCAGGACATACAGAAACACACAATATTACAGTCTTATTTGTTACCGTGCTGAACTGAGCACTGTGAAATTCCATGGAAATATCATTGGTTCTAATAGTACGTTTGAATCCTATGCCAGTTCTGATTTCACAACTACGCAAGATCACATCTAACTATGTTATAGAGAGAGAGAGGATCATATCCAATAATGTTATAGAGAGAGGATCATATCCAATTATGTTATAGAGAGAGAGACAGCATGAGCGAGAGACAGCATGCGCGAGAGAGAGAGAGAGAGAAACATGAGTATGTCTGACTCAGACTGAAAAACGGTAAACAGTAGAGGACTCTCAGATTCTAAAAGACACAGGAGACAACAGTAGCACTGTGAGACAGACTCCATATCAAGATACATTATCTACCACACACCTACACCAGATATCTTTGATATAATGTTGTAACGGGCTTTGCCCCACTTCCTTTCTCTCTGGTGTGACCTCTAAGAATGACCTTTCTTCAACAGTAACTTAGCTTAGTGGCCATGGTCCAGAACAGTATACAGTTCACTCGGAAAGTATTCAGACCCCTTCCCCTTTTTCCACATTTTGTTACGTTACAGTCTTATTCTAAAATTTATTAAATAGAAATGTTCATCAATCTACACACAATACCCCATAATGACAAAGCGAAAACAGGTTTTTAGAAATGTTTGCACATTTATTAAACACAAAATAAACAGAAATAACTCATTTACTTAAGTATTCAGACCCTTTGCTATGAGACTTGAAATTGAGCTCAGGTGCATCCTGTTTCCATTGACCATCCTTGAGATGTTTCTACAACTTCATTGGAGTCCACCTGTGGTAAATTCAATTGATTGGTCATGATTTGGAAAGGCACACACCTGTCTATATAAGGTCCCACAGTTGACAGTGCATGTCAGACCAAAAACCAAGCCATGAGGTCGAAGGAATTGTCCGTAGAGCTCCGCCACAGGATCTGGGGAAGGGTACCAAAATATTTCTGCAGCATTGAAGGTCTCCAAGAACACAGTGGCCTCCGTCATTCTTAAATGGAAGAAGTTTGGAACCACCAAGACTCTTCTTAGAGCTGGCCGCCCGGCCAAACTGAGCAATCGGGGGAGAAGGGCCTTGGTCAGGGAGGTGACCAAAAACCCGATGGTCACTTTGACAGAGCCCCAAAGTTCCTCTGTGGAGATGGGAGAACCTTCCAGAAGGACAACCATCTCTGCAGCACTCCACCAATCATGCCTTTATGGTAGAGTGGCCAGACGGAGGCCACTCCTCAGTAAAAGGCACATGACAGCCCACTTGGAGTTTGCCAAAAGGCACCTAAAGGACTGTCAGACCATGAGAAACAAGATTCTCTGGTCTGATGAAACCAAGATTGAACTCTTTGGCCTGAATGCCAAGCGTCACGTCTGGGGAAACCTGGCACCATCCCTACGGTGAAGCAGGGTGGTGGCAGCATCATTCTGTGCAGATGTTTTTCAGCGGCAGGGACTGGGAGACTAGTCAGGATCGAGGGAAAGATGAACGGAGAAAACCTGCTCCAGAGCGCTCATGACCTCAGACTGGGGCGAAGGTCCACCATCCAACAGGAAAACGACCCTAAGCATACAGCCAAGGATCTGCAGAGAAGAATGAGAGAAACGACCTAAATACAGGTGTGCCAAGCTTGTAGCGTCATACCCAAGAAGACGAGGCTGTAATCGCTGCCAAAGGTGCTTCAACAAACTACTGAGTAAAGAGTCTGAATACTTATGTGATCCTCTGTAGCTCAGCTGGTAGAGCACTGCGCTTGAAACGCCAAGGTAGTGGGTTCGATCCCCGGGACCACCCATACACAGAAATGTATGCACGCATGACTAAGTCGCTTTGGATAAAAGCGTCTGCTAAATGGCATATTATTATTATTATTATTATGTACTTATTTCAGTTTTCAATTTTTAATAAATGTGCTATAATTTTTTTTTAAATACGCTTTTTGCTTTGTCATTATGGGGTATTGTGTGTAGATTGATGAGGGGAAAAAACGATTTAATCCATTTTAGAATAAGGCCGTAACGTAACAAAATGTGTTAAAAGTCAAGGGGTCTGAATACTTTCTGAATGCACTGTATATTCTAAATAAAAGGCTCTGCCAGGGCCTAGTTTGATAGAAGGGTGTTGAACAAGTAACAACGGGTAAATAACTAATTTATTATGGCTGATTTGTTGAATGTCCTGTTGCCAGTCGACAGACTGTTGTTGACATATTACTGATAGACTACCCAAATGAAGTGTCATTTATATAGTGATTCCCATCTCTGGTTGTTATAAGAGGCTAAGTGGGAACCTAAGACGCAAACAAAACCTCCCCCATCTGTTTTTCCATGGATTACAGTAGAGTATACGTTTTAAAGCCACTAATTCCTAATACTGTTATGCCAAAATATGTAGACATTTTAAATGGCTGCCAATAGCATGCTAGTAGATACCCATAGACTTCCAGTCATTGCACTAACCCTAGTTAGCAATTGTGCTAGCACTAGTTAGCAAATTCCTTTAGACTGCAAGCAGAGACATAAAAATGGTATCCACAAGCTCATCTGACTCTGGTGAAGTAGATAAAGGGCCTCATTGCAAAAATCCCGAAGTACACCTTTAAACGTGTGCATTTAAACAGTGAAAGGAATTTGTTTGTGCTGATAATCCATCTGTTTTTTTTCTCTGTGGCAACTCAAACCATATAAAAACATTTTTAAAACTTTATTTCACCTTTATTTAACCAGGTAAGCCAGTTGAGAACAAGTTCTCATTTACAACTGCGACCTAGCCAAGATAAAGCAAAGCAGTGCGATAAAAACAACACAGAGTTACATATGGAATAAACAAAAACGTACAGTCAATAAATAACACAATAGAAAATCTATAAACAGTGTGTGCAAATGTAGTAAGTTATGGAGGTAAGGCAATAATAGGCCATAGTGCAAAATACTTACAATTTAGTATTAACACTGGAGTGATAGATGTGCAGAAGATGATGTGCAAATAGAGATACTGGGGTGCAAATGAGCAAAATAAATAACAATGTAAATAACAATATGGGGATGAGGTAGTTGGGTGGGCTAATTTCAGATGGGCTGTGTACAGGTGCAGTGATTGGTAAGCTGCTCTGACAACTGATGCTTAAAGTTAATGAGGGAGATAAGTGTCTCCAACTTCAGAGATTTTTGTAGTTCGTTCCAGTCATTTGCAGCAGAGAACTGGAAGGAATGGCGGCCAAAGGAGGTGTTGGCTTTGGGGATGACCAGTGAAATATACCTGCTGGAGCGCCTACTACGGGTGGGTGTTGCTATGGTGACCAATGAGCTAAGATAAGGCAGGGATTTGCCTAGAAGTGATTTATAGATGACCTGGAGCCAGTGGGTTTGGCGACGAATATGTAGTGAGGACCAGCCAACGAGAGCGTACAGGTCACAATGGTGTGTAGTATATGGGGCTTTGGTGACAAAACGGATGGCACTGTGATAGACTACATCCAATTTGCTGAGTTGAGTGTTGGAAGCTATTTTGTAAATGACATCGCCGAAGTCAAGGATCGGTAGGATAGTCCGTTTTAGGAGGGCATGTTTAGCAGCATGAGTGAAGGAGGCTTTGTTGCGAAACAGGAAGCCGATTCTAGATTTAATTTTGGATTGGAGATGCTTAATGTGAGTCTGGAAGGAGAGTTTACAGTCTAACCACACACCTAGGTATTTGTAGTTGTCCACATATTCTAAGTCAGACCCACCGAGAGTAGTGATTCTAGTCAGGCGGGCGGGTGCAAGCAGCGTTCGATTGAAGAGCATGCATTTAGTTTTACTAGTGTTTAAGAGCAGTTGGAGGCCACGGAAGGAGTGTTGTATGGCATTGAAGATCGTTTGGAGGTTTGTTAACACAGTGTCCAATGAAGGGCCAGATGTATACAAAATGGTGTCGTCTGCGTAGAGGTGGATCTGAGAGTCACCAGCAGCAAGAGTGACATCATTGATATACACAGAGAATAGAGTCAGCCTGAGAATTGAACCCTGTGGCACCCCCATAGAGACTGCCAGAGGTCCAGACAACAGGCCTTCCGATTTGACACATTGAACTCTATCTGAAAAGTAGTTGGTGAACCAGGCGAGGCAGTCAGTTGAGAAACCAAGGCTATTTAGTCTGCCAATAAGAATGCGGTGATTGACAGAGTCAAAAGCCTTGGCCATGTCGATGAAGACGGCTGCACAGTACTGTCTTTTATCAATCGCGGTTATTATATCGTTTAGGACCTTGAGCGTGGCTGAGGTGCACCCATGATCAGCTCGAAAACCAGATTGCATAGCGGAGAAGGTACGGAGGGATTAGTATTGTTAGATTGGACATTCCCATTCACTGTTCTGAGGAGTCTGGAGTGGCGGCCATATTGGATATGTGTTTTCATTTCTTACATTATTGGGTAGATTCAGAAAAATCCTGTTGATTTTCCAGCCATATGCTTTCTACTAACTCTATTTCTATGACAGATATATTACTCTGTCATAAAAAGAGTAGACGCAGTCTATCCCCATGAGTCCTCTGTCAGTATGACAAGCAAACACAACTGTGCAGTCTTCCCATGTTAACCCTTGCTAACCCCAAACCGTGACCCTAACAACCCTGCTTCCGCCCTCTGACAGCTGTCCACAGTCAACAGTCTGAGTAACTGTCATGTAGGAGAGACTAGAGATGGAGCTAGTTCAATTGTGAAGTGTCAACACATAGGCTACGTAAACCTGACATGGCTGTTCATGTATTATTTTAGCTAATCCTCTGTGTCTGAGAGTGGGGTTATGTCCCTGTCCCTATCTCTTAAAAAATCTCACTCTATAACATATTTCCAAGTAGAATGTTACATATACTAATATTATCTGCCTCTGTGTCTCTCTGTGTCTCCTCTGTGACGGCGTAGTCCATACCTCCAGGAACTGTGCGTTGATCTTGAACTCAGGCACAGGTCGTCCCTGCTCTTTAGCGGCCTGCTGGCGCTCCTCGATGCCCCTGAAGAGGTGGCTGACCGCCCGGGGTATGATGCCCAGCTCCTCCTCCCCGATGTTAACATCAAACCCTGTCCCCATGGTGTAGGTCTTACCTGACCCAGTCTATAGGAGGGCAGGAAAAAGAAGGAGAAGGAAACAGGAGGATAATAAGATGGGGGGAGAGGAGGAGATAAGGAGGGGAGGATGAGAGAGGAGCAGGAATGGAAAGAGGGGAAAGGGGGAGAGGGTGAGGAAGGAAAACAGAAGTATGATGAAAGGAGATAACGATATTAATTCATTGAAGTTTCATTTCAATCTGCTGTGCTTGTAACCAAGTGAGAAGAACCCCATGATTCTGCCGACTTGGTCAGACTGTTGGGATTGTGTTAAAGATGAATTAGTCCAGCACAGACTAGACAGACACATCCCCTACCAATTGTCCTCTACAGTCTGAGTAAAAACACAGGGAAAAAATAAGACGAGCCAAGCTGAGCTGGGCCGAACCAGGCTACCGAGAGCCAGGGCCAACCACTGTAGCTACTGTACAGTAGGGAAGAGAGACAGACCAGAAGTAGGTCACCAGTCACTGCAGCAGTGGTGGTGGGGAACAGATGGGGAATAGAGGAGTTCGCATAAAACATTTATGAATATCTTAAGAGTTTTGTAGGCCTACTTAACTGCATCACTTAAGCCCCACCACCATTGAAATCCCCCTCCCATCAAACAGACTTTAGTTCTAGAAAGCCCCCGTGAGAGAGAGGCTCAGCCGCCAAGGCAACCGGAGAGAATGGGAGAGAAGGCCAAACTTGCAACACATTTCCATGTTGTAGTGCAGACTGACAGTGGCAAAGAGGAAAAACTGCAAGAGAAAGTAGGAGCTAAGAAAGTAGTAAGAACTGCTGAATAGGAAAGAAGATTGAGAGGGATAGAGGGGGGTGCTTTAGAGGTGTTACTATAGATTGGGAGAGCTTTGTGAGGGCTTGCAATGACAGAAACCAATACGCTCAGAAACCTTTTATAAAAACTATACAAGCACTCCAAGAGCTAAATAGTATTGAATAAAAAAAAGTAAAAAAAATATTGGAGGGGTCAATTCGTTTTCAGGACCTCGCACAGGATTATTATACCAGTTCAGTATTTGACTCGTGATCAAACATAAGTTTTACATTACACAAATAACAGCCTTACAATGTCAGGCACAGTGCAAACAACTGCTTTAACCTACTGCATAGCTAGGGCCCAGAGTTTTCCTTGGTAATTTGACCTGACCAAGAAAAACCCTGGTCTATACACAAGTGTTGTGTCCTTAAACCCAAATATCAACACTTTATACTAAAATATCACCCCAAAGGCCCAAACCACCATGAAGTCAGAACAATCAACAGGGATCAGTTGAGGTGTCGGTTGAGACAGGGTTGTGTAGAGACTTGCCTGGCCATAGGCAAAAATGGTGGCGTTGTATCCTTCGAAGCAGCCCTCGATCAGCTTCTCAGTGCAGTTAGCATAGATGCTGTCCTGACAAGAGTCCATGTCGAACACGTAGTCGTACGTAAAGGCCTTGTCTTTACCCAGCATCACCTGGGGTTCCCCCGGGGTCACAAACGTACAGATGTGACATCCCTCGATCTTCTCCCGGGCCAGCTGAGGGCGAATCCTGGTGGAGATAGAGAGAAACAATGTCACTCAATCAACAACCTACAGTGCATTCGGAAAGTATTTAGACCCCTTTACTTTTTCCACATATTGTTACGTTACAGCCTTATTCTAAAATTGATTAAATATTAATCAATCTACACACAAGTTTTTAAAAACACAAGTATTCAGACCCTTTGCTATGAGACTTGAAATTGAGCTCAGGTGCATCCTGTTTCCAATGATCATCCTTGAGATGTTTCTACAACTTGATTGGAGTCCACCTGTGGAAAATTAAATTGATTGGACATGATTTGGAAAGGCACACACCTGTCTATATAAGGTCCCACAGTTGACAGTACATGTCCGAGTTTGCCAAAAGGCACCTAAACACTCTCAGACTATGAGAAACAAGATTCTCTGGTCTGATGAAACCAAGATTGAACTCTTTGGCCTGAATGCCAAGCGTCACGTCTGGAGGAAACCTGGCACCATCCCTATGGTGAAGCATGGTGGTGGCAGCATCATGCTGTGGGGATGTTTTTCAGCAGCGGGAACTGGGAGACTAGTCAGGATTGAGGGAAAGATTAACGGAACAAAGTACAGAGAGATCCTTGATGAAAACCTGCTCCAGAGCGCTCAGGACCTCAGACTGGGGCGAAGGTTCATCTTCCAACAGGACAACGACCCTAAGCACACAGCCAAGACAACGCAGGAGTGGGTTCGGGACAAGTCTCTGAATGTCTTTGAGTGGCCCAGCCAGAGCCCGGACTTCAACTCGTTCGAACATCTCTGGAGAGACCTGAAAATAACTGTGCAGCGACGCTCCACATCCAACCTGACAGAGCTTGAGAGGATCTGCAGAGAAGAATGGGAGAAACTCTCCAAATACAGGTGTGCCAAGCTTGTAGCGTCATACCCAAGAAGACTTGAGGCTGTAATCGCTGCCAAATTTGCTTCAACAAAGTACTGAGTAAAGGGTCTGAATACTTACAGTAACAGTCACTCATTTACATAAGTATTCACACCCCTGACTCAATACTTTGTAGAAGCGCTTTTGGCGGCGATTACAGTTTGAGTCGTCTTGGGTATGTCTGGATCAGCTTTGCACATCTGGATTTGGGGATTGTCTCCCATTCTTCCTTGCAGATTTTCTCAAACTCTGTTAAGTTAGATGGGGTGCGGCGGTGAACATAATCTTCAAGTCTTTCCATAGATTTTCAAATGGGATTCAAGTCTGGGCTTCGGCTTGGCCACTCATGGACTTTCACATTCTTGTTCTGAAGCCATTTCAGTGTTGTTTTGGCTGTATGCTTGGGGTCATTGTCCTGTTGGAACGTAAATCTTTGCCCCAGTCTAAGGTCATTTGCACTCTGAAGCAGGTTCTCATCAAGGATTTGCCTGTATTTGGCTCCATTCATTGTTCCCTCTATCCTTACCAGTCTCCCAGTCCCTGCTGCTGAAAACTATCCCCATAGCATGATGCTGCCACCACCATGCTTCACGGTAGGGATGGTGTTAGACGGGTGATAAGCTGTGCCTGGTTTTCTCCAGACATAGCACTTTGCATTCAGGCCAAAGAGTTCAATTTTTGTCTCATCAGACAACATAATCTTTTGCCTTACGCGCTCAATCTTTCACATGCCTTTTTGCACACTCCAGGTGTGCAGTCATGTGCCTTTTTCTCAGGAGTGGCTTCCATCTGGCCACTCTCCCATAAAGCCCAGATTGGTGAAGTGCTGTAGAGACTGTTGTCCTTCTGGCAGGTTCTCCCATCTCAGCCAAGGAACTCTGTAGTTCTGTCAGTGGTCACTGGGTTCTTGGTCACCTCCCTGACCAAGGTCCTTCTTGCCCGGTTGCTCAGTTTGGTCGGATGGCCAGCTCTAGGCAGAGTCTGGGTAGTTCCATATTTTTTCAATTTCTCTTGGAAACTTTCAACACCCTAGAAATTGTTTTATACCCTTCCCCAGATATATACCTCATCACAATTCTCGGAGATCTACAGACAGTTCCTTGGTCTTCATGGTATAGTTTCTGCTCTGACATACACTGTCTACTAATGGACCTTATTTAGACAGGTGTGTTTCTTTCTAAATCATGTCCAAACAATCGACTTCAGGTGGCCACAGGTGGACTCCAATCAAGTTGTAATGACCTCTCAAGGATGATTATGGGAATTGGATGCACCTGAGCTTAATTTGGAGTGTCATAGCAAAGGGATGTGAATACTTAAGTAAATGAGATATCTTTATTACATTTTCAATAAATTTGCAAAAATTTCTAAAAACATGTTTTCACTTTGTCATTATGGGGTATTGTGTGTAAATGAATTTAATCAATTTTTAATTCAGGCTGTAACACAACAAAATGTGGAATGAGTCAAATAGGTATGAATACTTACTGATGGCACTATGTATTTGTGTGTGTATGTCCATGTGTGTGTGAGACTGAGTGTGTGTGTGTGTGAGACTGAGTGTGTGTGTGTGTGTGTGTGTGTGTGTGTGTGTGTGTGTGTGTGTGTGTGTGTGGAGTACGAGTGTGAGCTAGAGATGCACTAAGCTTCAATGCTGAAAAAACTTTAATGCCCTCCTGATAGCTGGCCAACTGAAATCTGGCCCTGGATTATTAAGCCTGATGTGGAAGCAAGAGAGAAAGAGAGACTGTGCTAGAGGGCAAGAGAAACGATGTGATTGGCAGAAAAAGAGAGCTAAAGATATAGAAGGTAAATACATACAGCTCTGTGTTTACATGTGCCATACCACTCCATTCCCAACCAGGTCTAAAACAGTGTATACAATATATTGTAACAGCTTCTAATATATTGTATCTTCATGCCAGCCATTTTCCACAAACAGGAGACGTTTATTCTTAGTGTACACAACTCCACTGGTAAAATAACTCTGCTGTTACGGTCAGACTAACGGTTAAGAAAAGCACCTGGCAGTGGGCCTGCCTGCCTGCCTGTCCTGTGTGAATATAAGGACTGTATTGTCCCCTGCGGGCACAGAGAACAATGTTGTGGTCGGTGCACAGTGCACTCATTGTGTCTGCGTGACACTGGATCCCACCGCTACCACCAACGACCAAACCTGCTACAGGATTACACAGCCTGCTGGACGGAGGGAGGGATGGAGAGACGGAGGGATGGGAGAAGAGATAAGTCCTGCCTGTAGGTCAGGGTTGCCCAACCCTGTTCCTGGAGAGCTGCCCTCCTGTAGGTTTTCGCTCCAACCTCAAGGTGTTACTAACCTGATTCATCTTATCAACCTGCTAATTATTAGAATCAGATGTGCTAGATTAGGGTTGGAGCAAAAACCTACAGGACGGTAGCTCTCCAGAAACAGGGTTGGGCAGTCCTGCTGTAGGTTATGGGATGTCCGCTAGATAACAGTAACGCAGTGTTTTGACATGGTACAAGGCGGGGGTGGGGTATAATGGATTGCGAGACCAATGCCAAACACTCCTATTTTATAAGCCCACATGAAGTAGACTGTGGGGTAAACAAGGTCAGCAGAACATCAACCAGTGGGTCAGAGAAATGAAATGGTTCTGATTCTAGGAGCTGATTCAACTCTGAAATAAAACATGAACAGAGTAAGCTCTATTTTAAAGAAGCATTAGCATTCCGTAGAATCATCCATATCTGACAACATGGCAGAGAAGAGCGGGGGCAACAGGTAGGGCTGGGAATTATCAGGGTCCTCACAATACCATATTATCACGTTCCTTAGGTGCCCCCCACCACCATTTTTTGACAACACACAGGAAACTGTTGAGCGTGAAAAACCCAGCAGCGTTGCAGTTCTTGACACAAACCTGTGCGCCTGGCACCTACTACCATACCCCGTTCAAATGCACTTACAATGCATTCCGAAAGTATTCAGACCCCTTTACTTTTTCCACATTTTGTTACATTACAGCCTTATTCTAAAATTGATTAAATTGTTTTTTTCCCCTTATCAATCTACACACAATACCCCATAATGACAAAGCAAAAACAGGTTTAGATTTTTTTGCAAATGTATTAAAAATTTAAAACTGAAATATCACATTTACATTAGTATTCAGACCCTTTACTCAATACTTTGTTGAAGCACCTTTGGCAGCAATTACTGCCTCAAATCTTCTTGGGTATGACGCTACAAGCTTGGCACACCTGTATTTGAGGAGTTTCTCCCATTCCTCTCTGCACATCCTCAAGCTCTGTCACGTTGGATGGGGAGCGTTGCTGCACAGCTATTTTCAGATCTCTCCAGATATGTTTGATCGGGTTCAAGTCAGGGCTCTGGCTGGGCCACTCAAGGACATTCAGAGACGTGTCCCGAAGCCACTCCTGCGTTGTCTTGGCTGTGTGCTTGGGGTCGTTGTCCTGTTGGAAGGTGAACCTTCACCCCAGTCTGAGGTCCTGAGTGCTCTGGAGCAGGTTTACATCAAGGAGCTCTCTGTACTCATCTTTCCCTCGATCCTGACTAGTCTCCCAGTCCCTGCCGCTGAAAAACATCCCCACAGCATGATGCTGCCACCACCATGCTTCACCGTAGGGATGGTGCCAGGTTTCCTCCAGACGTGACGCTTGGCATTGAGGCCAAATAGTTCAATCTTGGTTTCATCAGACCAGAGAATCTTGTTTCTCATGGTCTGACAGTCTTTAGGTGCCTTTTGACAAACTCCAAGTGGGCTGTCATGTGCCTTTTACTGAGGAGTGGCTTCCGTCTGGCCACTCCACCATAAAGGCCTGATTCGTGGAGTGCTGCAGAGATAGTTGTCCTTCTGGAAGATTCTCCCATCTCCACAGAGGAACTCTAGAGCTCTGTCAGAGTGACAGTCGGGTTCTTGGTCACCTCCCTGACCAAGGCCCTTCTACCCAGATTGCTCTGTTTGGCCGGGCGGCCAGCTCTAGGAAGAGTCTTGGTGGTTCCAAACTTCTTCCATTTAAGAATGATGGAGGCCATTGTGTTCTTGGGGACCTTCAATGTTGCAGACATTTTTTGGTACCCTTCCCCAGATCT